GCTTATTTCCGATAGCGCTAGGGGCCGATTTAACGTATCGTTATAGTAGAGTGAGGAAACGGATACCCTTTAGGAAATATTATTGTGGAAATCGGGTGGATTGGGTGATCCTGGACGTATATTGACTATTGTACACGACAAACTCGATAAACGTTGAGTAAATAGGAGGTCAATATTTCTTAACGGTAGTTCTCACAGTCCTTACCCTTTATACGTATATTAAATATAAAGGAAGTTACTGGATAAGTGTTTTACTTATTCGAGGAAATTATATTGTTTAATTAATTAATTAAATTGAATACCACTTAGTAGAAAAGGAAGGATAGTGTTTATTAGATATTATTGGCTTATTTGTCTCCGCGTTCTCTGATATCTGTGTATTCTCTAATACCCTACCACCCTACGTCTACAGTAAACACAGGAGAGAACAAGGATAGTAAGTTTAAGTTCTCCGGTCTCGCCCGAGGGCTCGGAATAGAGCGGAGGTGTCTTTGCAACGAGGCTAAACTAATTTCGGGCCAGAGAGACCTAGGGGTATAAGAGTATTAGGAAAATACACGGGCCTTATATCTAGTTAGAGAGGGTGATATTGTTTAACCAATCCTATTTAATCAACCCAATTTCTTTTTAGAGGGGACAGTGTCTAAACAACCTTCTCACCACTTTCAACAGCCCTTATTTTAAACACTTGAATTTTAATTGCTACAGTATCACTACCTCTGTTTTCTACCTCTGTTTTTTACTAGTATTTGTTAAACTTATAATTAGGTAGGCCTTTATATATTATAGACCAGTTTATTTAATCTGATTAAGAGACTATTATTAATTAATTAAGAATTAACGGTAGGCCGTAGTAGTAGTCGTTTAACTACCTCGGCCCTTACAAATAAGGTGTAGTGTTAAAGCGAAGCTGCACTTAGCTTACAAGCTGTATATACCGTAAGTATAGAGTCCAATACTCAGTTTCGGATCGGCCGAATTATTACCCAGTGGTACCTTCCGCTAAGCTAGAACCCCTCGCCTTTCTACTCCCTAGGATATTCTCCGCAACGGCACTCGGAACTCCCGATTTTTACGATCCACCCTATTTCTAACCAAAACCGACGACGATCACTATATAGCTCGCGACGGCTTCTGGAACTTTAGATTAACTATATATTATATTGTACTTCCTACGCTTACTCCCAGAATAGTAACCTAAGCCTAAGGCTAAGAGAGAACGCTGGATACTTTAGCCTTCTGGTATTTATAATCACCACCTATAAGGAGGACGCTAGTCGGGACCCGATTATATATTGGCTCCTCTAACCTATTATTACTCTCCTATTTCTGTTTTCAAGCGGTACTTCGTACGTGACTTCCCCGTTAATCGCTCCTTAAAAGAGACTCCCTTAGGTGTGGTAGTACAACTATCTACAGAATTACTATATTATACGGCTTTCTCGGTCTTCATTATAAAGGTAGGATCAGGTAATCGTCGGATCATATCTATCATAGGAAAGACCACGGTTTCAGCACACCTAGATATTCTCACGAATAAATCGATCGTTGGATCATATCTATTATAGGAACGACCACAGCTTTTAGACGTTAATATCTGCGCCCTTCGAGAGAAGGGTTATAAGTTTATCGGAGGGAATTGTGGTCTATCACAGGATACGAAGTATCAGACGGGCCACGCTTAAAGAGAAGATTAGGTAAGGCTACCTACTTAGCCAAAGGACAATATATATAGTTCCTTGTTTACTATATAGATCTTGATTCCGAGAGGAAATTAACACTGGTATCTAGGTTAAGAAGCGATAAGGGTACTCGAAATATATAGAGTGAGGTTACCAATTTCGGTCTAGTGGCACTCTCAACAACAGTAAGAGATATACTAACTATATCCGGCCACTTTTATCGATAGGGCTATAAATCGGCGGGACAGCCACTAGGGTTACTAAGTGGTCTAGAGCTTCTCTAAGGTAGAGCAGGGAGAAGTTAGGAACCAATTATATATTAGCCCCTCTAATCTATTGTTAGTCACTCCCCTATATTTACTTTCAAACAGGATAGAAGGTGTTATATATATAGAAGATCTGCTATATAAGATATATCTTCGCAGGTATACAGAAGAGGTTTATCGCCTCAGTACCGAAAGGAATTACTACGCCAAAGAAGATACGGAATCGGACATTGATACTGATTAATTAGGAGGCTTATATCTTAAGGAGCGCGACACTAAAATATATCCCCAAACAAGATATAGGGCTCCCGGGAACACCGATTAAGTTCCCCGGAGCTAACTACAGCCCAGGAACGCCAGACACGCTCCTAGGCACGGATTAAGTGATCCTAGAAATACCTCTAATCCCTAGGAGCGACTAAGAGCGTACCTAAGAACTATACTATAGATCCTAGGAATAAGCGTCCTAGTATATAGGACACTATCTTACAGATTCTAAGCAGTTATTCACCAGCCCTTCGCTCCTAGGGCCTAATTCTAAGTTCCCGGGGGCCTAGGGGCTCCTAGGATTACCCGTAGTGTTCCTAGGTAGGAATTACAGGGGCAATAATATTAAAGTTATTCAGTGTTAGCCGGAGATAAGGATATACTAAAGATTTAAGAAGGGTTCTCTAGGACTCCTTTCTCTACCTTAGAGTAGGAAGACCGAGTAGCTAGGCTAGCCAATAATATCTCGTATTTGCTAGCCCTATTTAGGTTAGTAATTAGGTCTCTGTAAGCCTTTATATTGTAATTCTCTTCTATATATAGTTCTCTTCTATACAGAGATCTCTTCCTTATAGAGCCTTCTTCCTTATATAGAATTCATTATTAGACCGCCAATCACAGCTATATTCTTGTAAAGTAAATTAAACTATTGGGATAATAATTGTATAAAATTCCTAAGCGAGGATAGGAAAAACAAAGGTTCTTTCTGGTAAGAGTTCCGCTTCGATCTTATAACTTTATATAGGTTGTTGCGGTGTATCTTTACTAACCTACTGTAGATCCTAGTCTATCACTAGTATCGGGACTGGATAGTAGGAGTTCTTGATAGGTCAGTTATCTTTTTATCAGAGCTATAGTTTGAGATATACTAATTGTAAGCTGAGGAAAGCCCAAAATCCCGAAGTATCCGCTGATAAAATATATACCTAGCCTGTCTCTCGGATACGAATTCCTATATATATATCTGCGCTGTATATCCTACTATATTCGTATACCTTTTTCATCAGACTTATTTTACGGCGGTATTGTTTTTGCCGCATCAATTTTCTTTTCGAAGTGGTATCCTTGGACTTAGTAGCCTTGATAGCGGCTATTGGGCACGTTACCTTGATATCTGGGGGTATTGGGGGGGTAGAGAAACCTATATAGAAAAATATAGATAGAGGGGGCTCTTATAAGTCTTAGGTCCGCTAATAGGAAAGGGCTCAATAAATATAAATGTTATTGCACAAAGGGGAGCCATCAATCATGGAACGCGAAAAGACCACGATATTCAAAGACCACGATATTCCTTAAATTATTACACGCAGACTGGTCCTTTATATAATGAACTCATAAAGGCGGCCGCCGCAAGACTTAAAGGGCAATCACCGGTGTTATTTGCGGTCATCAAATGGGTGCGGCAACGGGAAAGCAACCGTACTTTTAATATTATTGGCATGTTGCCCGCCCTACCTTTCACGTGTCTGCAATGTCTCTATAGCATACTTTTAGCACCAGCAAACCCTTCATGTTGGTCGAAATCTTTGTCAGCCTGTTTTAATAATACAAATTGAAATGCAGATATAAGTGTGGGCAACAGAAAGAAGAGGTGATGTATATTAACTGGGCAAAAACTTGGTGTAAAAATTATTTTAGAGAGGCATCATGTTGATGTGATATTCGATAAAATACAACGGTAATTTGGGAGTCCACTGAACCTGCATTGTCAACGAGATACTAGTACTAGACTGCGATATCGCCCGTCCACGGTGGGCGGTGGGCTATTTGGATTTTCGAGTGCCCGTCCATAACGCCCACCGCCCACGGGCATACCCACCGTTATATAAAGTTGTCTTAAATATATATAAAAATCAGATATATAGTAAATTATACTATATACATTTATATAGATCTTATTAAAAATCCGGAATTATGATTGTAAATATGCAAAAAATACAAATTTAGTTGAAATATTTTGAAATCTGTCCATAAAAATCACGTGTTACGCTAATTTTGCTTACTAAAAAGGCCCACGGGCGCCCACGACGCCCACGGCCCGTGGGCCCTAAGGGTAGGGCCCATTTCCCGCTTATATAAGGCCTGTGGGCAATGCCCACCCGCCCGTCCATGGGCGATGTCGCAGTCTAGTTCTTAATGTATGTCTGTCGACCACCGCTCGAGCAGAACTAACAACTTTTTAAATAGTATATCCGGGTAGATTTGACAAAGAAATATAAGCTCCGCACAAAGCCACGCGAGCCTTTTTTGGTTACAGCAAAAGATATTGATTACCTCCTACGCCGGTTATTTACTAGCGATTCCCACGATTATAACCATGAGAGGGCTAGGGTACAAACCGGATCATCACTTGCTTTATTCGCTGGTTCCGGGGCCCGGGCCGGTGCGATTGTGGAGTCGAGTGCTTATCGTCATACCGACGAGTGTCTTTACTATAGGGTCCGTGTCTCCGATATTACTCTCTCGTATCCATATTAACCTTATCACTTAGCATATCCAATTCCATTTGAAGTTGGGTCGAGAACCAGGGACAATAAATATTTTAAGAGCAGCGAGCGATTTTACATCCTATACTGAGTGATTAATACCATTCAGCATTCGCGATGAAGCGCCTAGGTAATTCACTGGGTGACAAAGTTCGCCGAGACGCTACTGGTTCACCTTGGCTGTAATTTCATCCCTCTCTAGAAGACACTCAAGTCAAGTCCGTTGCTTTCAATGCTTTCCCGGCAGGCCTCGTACACAGTAACATGTGCTCGCTGACTGCCACAAGTGGTGTATCTACCTAAAAGTCCGCGCACATACCAGTGGTGGTATCAAAGATCGCACTATCACCGCATGCAGGCATACCAGCGGAGGGGCAGTACTCGAAGTTCATGCAGTCACCCGAGGCCAAGGCACACTGCTTACCGTTGAAGACCTGGCCGGTGGGACACTCGGGGGCTGAGATAGCGACACACTCCTTAGTGGTCTTCTTGAAGGCGGTGCCGGGCTGACACTCTGGAAGCTTCTCAGCCACACACTTCTTGCCGTTGAACTTCATGGCGGGTGGGCATGCGGGCTCGGAGGGGTGAGCGCACTCCTCGCCGTCGAAGACTAGGCCTTCGTCACAAAGAGGCTCAGATCCAACACAGTCCTTGCCGTCGAAGTCGGTGCCGGGGGGACACTCGGGTTTGTTTTCGGAGATGCACTCGCCGTTGAAGGGAGTGTAGCCGGGGCCGCACTCGAGGCCGACCAGCTTGATACAGCGGCCGTTGGTCCACTTGTGGTCAACGGGACACTTGGGGTCCTTAGGGCTGATACACTGCTTACCGTCGAAGACAGTGCCCTTCATACAAGTGGGGACGCCGACAATGCAGCCGCCGGCGACAAGGATAGATCCGGGCTGGCATTTGGGCGTAGAGGTAGTGATGCAGTCGCCTTGGCCGTCGAGGATAGCGTTAGGGGGACAAACTGGAGTGCTAGTCGAAATACAGCGGGTGCCGTCGAAAGTCATGCCTTCGGAGCAGACAGGGGTGTGGGGAGTAATACATTCCTCGCCGTTAAAGACGCCGCCCTCCTCGGTGCACTCTGGCGTGGAGGTGGTTGACACGCAGTCCTCGCCATTGAAGATAAAGCCGTCCTCACAGACGGGCCGCTGGATGCTGATGCAAATGCCCTTCTCAAATCGTGTGCCGGTCGGACAGCTTACTTCGGCGGTAGAGAGGCAGTTCTCGCCCGAGAGGACTAGACCAGGGGGGCATTCCGGCTGCTTAGAGGTGATGCAGATCGAGCCGTCTAGGAGATGCCCGGGGGGGCATTCTGGAAGCTCCGTCGACAAACAGCGACTACCGCTGAACTTAGAGGCAGGCGGGCATTCAGGGACCTTAATAGGCTGTTTCTGGCAGAATGTGCCTACTTGAGTAAGGCCAGGAGGACATTCATGGGTCGGGTCGACCTCAAGACCGCATATGTTACCGTCCCACGACATATCAGCGGGGCAGCAACGGGCGGTGTTGGAGGTGAAATCGGTAGATAGATCGCTTCCAGGAGGACAATTAGGCTCCTCATCGAGGACACACTTCTTGTTGACCAGATCCAGCTGAAATCCGGGTTCACAAGAGGGCTTCTCAGATGCGGTACATCGTGCGGTACGCGAATTGAAGGTGCTATCATCGGGACAGGCAGGCTTGATATCAGACACGCACTGATATTCTTTCAGGTGGCTTCCCTCTTCGCAGGCGGGGCTAGAAGTCGAGGCGCACACCTTAAAAGCAGCGTGAAATTCAGCGCCTGAGAGGCACACAGGGGAGCTGACGCTAATACAGCTTCCATTGCCGAAATCCAATCCATTGGGACACTGGGGAATCTGGACACTAACACAGGTCTTTCCGTTGAAAGTATAGTTGTCGGGGCAGGCAGGAGTCTGCTTAGATTGACAGATATTGCCCTTAGGCTCCAGACCAGCGGGGCAGGCTGCAGGTCCTGTAACGCACGTCCGACCTTTGAACTCGGTGCCCGGGGGGCAAACGGGAGGTATGGTCGCGACACAGATATTGCCGTTGAATTCACTGCCATCCGGACAGATAGGCTTCACGTTGGACACACACTTGTCCTCATTGCGGGTAAAGCCCTCAGGACACAGAGGGACACCCAACACGCAATCCTTGCCGTCAAATTCGGTTCCCTCTGGACAACATTTCGTTAGACCAGAGGAAAAGTCTGTCAAGGGACGGATATTATCGAGAGTATACTTGGTTTGACCGGGAGAGGCGGGCCGGGCTGCCACCTGGGAGGCGGACAAGGACAGGAGGGTCAAAAGAGACTCCAATTTCACCATCGTGGTTGGGAAAGGGAAAAACAAAAGATTGATGTAGGATCAAGTAGGAGGGGAGGTTCGAGATAGATACTTATACGTTTTTCCCTCAGCATGGTACATAATGAAAATCGCTCAGGCCAAGAGAGCCCAGCAATCTCCGAAACTCAGCCGGTCCTCATTTTTCATGAATCTTCAGCCGTAGAAGTGGATCAGGAAACCCGGTGACTGAGAAGTGCGTGGAGCTGTTCACTTTCCAAGATGGTTCTTGTTGTACGTTGGATCGAGTGGATGGAAAGAGACCGATCGACAAGAAATAGTGAAGATATTGATCTAAGGGGTAGGAATCGACACCAGGGTCCACAAGCCGTATTGTGAAGTCCACAAGATCGAACGACTCCACTCGTTTGTGACCAACCGGTCGATCCAATTTTCCGGACCGCTCCGACCCAAGATCTGCCCAAACTCCGCAACAACATACATGTTTAAATCATATTTAAATCATCGCAATATCTATGTGATAAAGAAAGAAATTTGGAATATCCTTCATCCCCTTTCCTCTTCACCTGTCATTGCCAAGGGTGCGTTATGTTAGCGGGATAAATGGATCCAATGAATGCATCTCGATCTGGATGTTGATCAACCGACCACTTCGCACTAGGCTACATAGTCCACTATGGTACAGCTGAAATTGGACCCCGTTCGGATGATTGGATGGCAAGATGAATGGATCTATATCAACTATGTCCATGTATCTATTCCACTCGAGGAATTTGTATGACAATCACCGAAACTAGGGAAGGGGGGAAGGATATGATACAACGTGAACCACGTCAGCGATATTGGTTTCTAAGCTTTATATTTGTCATGCCAATTATTGGCACCACCTCCATCGTCATTGTCGAGACCCATACCGAGCTTTCTCAGCTGCGCCCATGGCACTAGTCCCCGAGGTCCTTTTTTTTCTTCTCCATCCATTGCTATAACTGATCGTGTTCGCTGGTCTTGACTTACTTTTATCAACTCTATCAATCTGATTGAATTCCTTGTTGCCACCTAACAGTGGTATAGAGGCCTTTCAAAATCATGGTTTCCGCTTCCTACTCAGCTTTGCTTGCCCTCCTCTCCGCCAGAACGGCATGGGCCACTACCACGCAAGCTCCCTCGGGAGGGAATTGTCTATCTCTCTCCGGTGGTTCCCCCAGAGAAGTCTACAAAGCGTGCTGTGGTCAAACGAAATCCGACAAGGGATTCGTGGACGGCGTCGAGTTTTCCTATACCTGTGAGACATGGGCGATGCCCTACAATCACACTCCCGTCAAAGTTAATAGTGCACGCGAGTGTGCTAAACGCTGCTCTGACGCCGGCGCCGACTGTCCCGCCTCCTCGTGGCAAGCTGGTGGGAACTGCTACTTCATCACCTCCGACAGCTACTCGACTAACAAGATGCAGTCGATGCTCTTGCTCGAGAAGACCAGCAAGCTGATATCAGAGCCCGAGTCCGAGCCCGCTGGAGGATGCGGGGCGGCGGCTGATGCTGCAGGGATGCAGTGCGAGAAGGATGCTGCTGTGAAGTGCCAGAGCGAAAAGGAGACCGACAAAGCACAGTGCGAGCAGGAGAAGACCGCCCTTGCAGACAACACCAAGAAGCAAGCGGAGGCCCGGTTTCAAAACGACAAAGGTCAGCTTGAGAAGAAAATCAATGATGCTCAAGCGGGATGCAAGTTGGAGAAGGATGCTGCCAGCTCCAAATGCGCCACCGAGAAGGACCAGCTTCGGAAACAAACAGACGACGCTCGGTCCGAATGCCAGGCCGAAAAAGACAATGCTGTTTCCAACGCCAATTCTCAATGCACCACTGAGAAGGACAAACTTCGCCATCAGGGAGAAGCACAATGCAAGTCGGAGAAAGACGCTGCCAGCTCCCAATGCGCCAACGAGAAGGACCAACTTCGTCAACAGGGAGAAGCACAATGCAAGTCGGAGAAAGACGCTGCCAGCTCCCAATGCGCCAACGAGAAGGACCGGCTTCAGAAGCAAACGGACGATGCCTGGTCCCAATGCCAAGCCGAAAAAGACAATGCTGTTTCCAACGCCAATTCTCAATGCACCTCTGAGAAAGACAAACTTCGCCTCCAGGCAGAAGGCAACTTGCAGCAGTCCAAATCTCAGTTGGAGGCGAACAAAGTTCTTGATACCAAGAATATCTGCCCTCAGTATCACCTTCGAGAGTTTTTCCTACCTACTCCTGATGGCGGTACAAGCAAGTGGCGTGTCTACTGCGACCATGCAGCCTTCGAGATACGTTGGAACGCTGCAGGGTTCATGAATGAGACTGGAACGCCGTACAATCAACTTCTTGCTCATAGACATTGGGACGCGGGCTATCGAGCATTCTACTGGAGAGACACCGATTTCTTCCACCGTCACCTCACTATATACACGGTTGAGCCAAACCTTAGACAGAGCCAACTGAATACTTTCTATATTCAATCTCTACCAAGAGGTAGACACCACGTGATTGTTCGCATTGACGACGTCCCATTCAAAATTATTTAGAAATTTGATATTCAACTACCAAACCGGGCTAGATTTTGAGACGCATCTATTCACCGAACCTCCATATCTATGGTTTGATGCGGTCGGTCAGTGCGTTGGGTATTTCGGGTATTTCATTCATTTTTATTACCTTGTCCATTCCACTCGCTTTAAATCAATTTCAACTCAGATTTTCATGCAAATATGACGCCCACAACGAGTTAAACATGACCATGCGAGCCGTTGATAGACCTCTTCATCTGGGTAAAATATACTCACAGACGCCTAGCATCTTCCAGAATGCTAGAGAGGAGCTGAGAGTAATAAGCCTCGAATTCAACGGCCGCAAAGTCCCAAGCTGGTGCCTAATGTTTTATATATGCTGCCGTTTATTGAATACATGTATGATTTTCCCTTTCAAACAAGAGATGGGCCGAGATGGATCAAGATATAACGACTAAAAGAATGATGACAAGCAAGGGGACCACAAGAACAATAGGCGAAACAAATGTTAAATATTAGGGCCAAGAAGCGGTGGTCAACGTCATGCAAGTCTGGATATAGGATTGGCCAGACGAGACCAAGGCGCCCTGCCTTATGTATCATCAATCACCTTGCTTGAATGAATACTTTTCTGATACCGCGGTATTATTCCTAATATACTCTGAAGGCTACATCTGTATTGCGTATCCCTGATAGCACTGGTCTTTGAAAGGCGAGGCTGTCATTCGGTGATCAAGAAAATTCTCAATGTTTCCTTAACGAGGGCATGCGAATACACTGGAAAGGATGAAAAAGGCAGAGCGCGACACTAAAACTTGTGTCGCGTTCATTGCCCCATTTAAACAGGCTCTCCAGTGCGTCGTCCCTACTATCCAGTGCGTCCCTACTGTTTAGTGCGTCCCTACTCTGCCACTCCTGCGGGATCGTAGACAATCTACAGTTCTCCGCTACTCCTAAATTTCGGGAAGCACCTCGTTTCCCCGTTGCTCCTAGACTAAGCGCACGATTATCATGGTCGCTAGAAATCCTATATCCTACGAAATACCACGGTTCCCCGTTGCTCCTAGACTAACCGCACGATTATAATGATCGATAGAAACTCTATATCCTACGAAAGTACGACTAGATTGAGTAAGGTAATAGAATTCCTAGGTGGACAGGAAATGGTGTCACAGGTGTCGCGGGCACTAGCTGGCGACCGGTGCTCACAATCGCTAGATCTCAGCCCCTGTCTCTTACGCCACCGCCTTTAAAATATCACGAGAGAAGCTACTTTTGTAAAGGATAAAGGTCCTTAACGTATTCGGTAAGCGAGTGACGCATGTAAGCGAGCGACGCAGCCCAAAACACGTAAATCCGATAATTTCTACATATATATCTCAACAACCACTTTTGTGTTTTATTTCATTTCTTGTAGATAACCGATCATAAGACTAATTAACACACTACGTCAATTTCAGAGAAATCTAAAAGCTGCATTATCATGGTATCAAAATTACGAGCTAGAAATATTTATAAAATATATATATCTCAATCACTAAGCCATTAAACTTCCTAATAAAAGAAAATATCCTACAATCAAAAGCCCCTAGAGGCCACCGTTGTTGAGATATCAAGTTGTAATTTATCCTATTTACTAGACTGCGACATCGCCCATGGACGGGCGGGTGGGCATTGCCCACAGGCCTCATGTAAGCGGGAAATGGGCCCTACCCTTAGGGCCCACGGGCCGTGGGCGTCGTGGGCGCCCGTGGGCCTTTTTAGTAAGCAAAATTAGCGTAACACGTGATTTTTATGGACAGATTTCAAAATATTTCAACTAAATTTGTATTTTTTACATATTTACAATCATAATTCCGGATTTTTTAATAAGATCTATATAAATATATATAGTATAATTTACTATATATCTGATTTTTATATATATTTAAGACAACTTTATATAACGGTGGGCATGCCCGTGGGCGGTGGGCGTTATGGACGGGCACTCGAAAATCCAAATAGGGGCGATGGGCACCTCCTAGGTGCCCATGGACGGGCGATGTCGCAGTCTACCTCGTAGGCGCTTATGCTTACGTATCTTGTTCGCATTGCGCTTTTGCACCTTGTAACCATTACGCCAATTCCCTATGTCCGGTTAACACCGACGGAGTAAAAAATTATCGATCCATAATCTTCATGATAATGGAATATTCTAGGGGTCTAAAATTTCGGGCCATAGACTTTACAATCACTTCAATTTTCCTAAAGGTCGAATATTCCGAATACAAATTTTCAAAGGGATCTTTTATTCAGGCTCATTTGAAATTACCTTCTTAAAGTTCAAGTCTTATTATTTTCTCCTCGATTTTATCTACCTGTCTCGGAAATTCATTATGTCCCAGGAAGATATATTCTAGGAACGTCAGAACTACTGCAAAGGGAGAGTGAAGGTATACTTGCACCATTTCTAAATAGATAATATAGGGCCTCGAACTATTCGAGATTCGTATATAGCCCGGCTGGACAGAATTTTTCAGTCGGAAGGGTTTCCTCGCCTAAACCCAGAGAATTATATAAAGGTCTTAATAGCAATGATATTCTTTAGTAAGCTCTGGCTACCCGGGATAAAACTGGCCTATTGAACTTTTTAAAACCCCTAAATAAAGTACGGCTGAATATTGTGAACGATTTATATGATATTTAGGTAGTTAGACTGGAAGCAAGGCTTGTTTTTGCTGGCCCTACAACAGATTATGCGGATAAAGAGTCATTAGAATCTTTTCTGGTGTGGATCGATAACCAAAGAGAATAAGAAACTGCTATATAGGAGGGAAGTCTATATAGAAACTGCTATATAGGAGGGAAGTCTATATAGAAACTGCTATATAGGAGGGAAGTCTATATAGAAACTGCTATATAGTAGGGCGGTCTATATAGAAACTGCTATATAGGAAGTAAGTCTATATAGAAACTGCTATATAGTAGGGCGGTCTATATAGAAACTGCTATATAGGAAGTAAGTCTATATAGAAACTGATAGCACTCTAGAAGCGTAGCGAATCGCCGGGGCTTCCTAGAGGCGGTCAGCAGAATACACAAAAGAGCCCAATACAAATAGCGAATACGAATATAAACGTATTTGAGCCTTCGAGCCTTTAATTAGACATAAGATATAAATAAACTTCCGGTATATCTTTCAAATGATATATAACACTAAGTAGGAAGCTCGTAGGCGTTAAGCCGAGTTGTGGTGTCTAAGTATAAGGAAGAGAAGCTCGCGACCAATAGTAGACTTCCGCAAAGCCCAACTTTGGGCCCAAGCTCCGGGCTCGAAACCCGACCCTCAACGGGCCGGGGGTCGAACTTTTTGGGCTCGACCCGGACCCCGGCTCGAAGGGGGGGGCCCGTCGGGCCCCCCCCCCCCTAGGCTCGAAATTGTATAAATATATGGTCTTGGCATTCATAAAACTGCTTAGTTATTAATGCTGTAATCACTGTATCTCAGCTTTTCCTAGGTATATTTAATTTAAATTTTAAATATAGAAAGAGAAAGAGGGTTGAAATATATATATTAAATTTAAACTAAATGCGACCGGTAGAAAGTGAGAGAATATAAAAAGTAATAAAATTATTATTTTGAATTTGAAGATATATATTTACTCACTATACTACAACTGCAATTTTATATGAACTTCTGTAATTTATTTAATTTCTTAAATAACTAATCTCTCTAAATTTAAACTGTAATTCATATATTTAAATCTAGATCTACTATTCAGAACTAAATTGATTTAAATATTACATTTATTAAAGGCTAAAAAACAGCCTCTAAACATGCTGTAAGTTTCATAAATCATATGATCCGGAGGATTAGGCTCGGATGGCCCCCCCCTTTCGAGCTGGGGGCTTAACCTAAAAGCCCGAAACCCGCTGCGAGCTTTGGACCTAGGCTCGAAACCCGACCCTTTTGAGGGTCGGGTCGGGTCGGGTTTCGGGCTTTTCGAGCTTTGCGGAAGTCTAACCAATAGTCGACTTATAAAAGAGAAGAACCTTCTATAGATAGTATAGTATCCTAGGTACTTATAAGATACCCATTTCAGGATACATATAGACCTATACTGCTTATACCAAGAGTATAATACAGACAAGACGTATGGTTCCCCGAAAGAATTCTAACAGAAGTGGTGCTGGGATGAAAGACAGATCTTATATCTATAATAGAGCTATATAGAGTATCCTATAGGGTGTGAAATAAGAGGACGTTAATAAAATATCACTGCTAGTTAGACCGTTTCAGGAGCAAAGTTTCCTTGGAAGACCGAGAACAAAAGGCTTCTTTCGAGAGGGTTCAGGTTATAGGAGAATCCTCTTAAGATGAAATTAGTTACAGTACGACCAACTGAAGAGTATATACAACACAGAAGGGTAAACGTTATATAAGCTGGGTCTTAATACTAGTTCTCTCCTAGTCCAATCATTCTGGGCCTAGGCTGGTTTTGAGATAGTCTAGGGCGACCACGAATTGCGGATGGCGGTTTAGCCAGACGCCGTTCAGTGAGGATTGCGTTCATTGGCTTATCATCTTACTGTAGGAGCGGGTCTCTGCAGTGGCTTTTATTGGACGACAGTGTACGCTACGGACGCGTTCTCGTTTCAGAGCCTCGGTGGGCGCTTATTTTCAGCCACTGAAAATAAAGAAGGCGGTATCGAAGGGTGTTTTTTTGGCCCGCTCTCTGTCTGACTTGACTCGTTTTCTCGGTCACCCTACCTTCTACTTCCCGCTAACTGTCTCCTCCACCCTTCCTCTCAACACACTATATGACTATGTCTGCTCCCCTTCAGACCTATTCGGCCTCCAATAACAACCAACAAAGAAGCAGTAGTTGATCAATTTCAAAATGAAGCATCAAAACAAGATACGAAGACAGTCCACTGCCTGCAAAGAATGTCAGCGTCGGCGGACAAAGGTAGGGAATATTATAATAGTATAGATCTTCTACTTACTTTTCGTTAAAATAGTGCAGTGGTAGAAATCCGTGCTCGGAATGCAGAAAACGCGACTGTGTCTGCGATGTCAATGAGAGCTCTGACAAACGACGCAAACTCTACTTAAGTATGATGGAAGAAGAACTTAAGTACCATCAACAATTTATGGACGGGTTTCTTAAGGCAATACAGACTTCTAATGATGCTGATGTCCACCACATTATCGATGTTGTGCGGTCGGGATCATCGACCAGTGAGATATAGACTGCAGTGAATCGCGTTCTTACGGATAATCGTTCTTCTTACAATGACGTCCCCAAAGGAGGTCCGTTAAGGGGCTGGCCTAAGAGGAAGGCTTCTAAATCGGCTACATCGGATTATCTTATAGCCCAGCTGCTGGATCCAAGCGAAATTCAAAGTGATAGCGACTCAGCCCAGCAACCTGTTTCCGTACCCCACGAGCTGTCGCGTGCTACCAAGGAATATCTCGAGAAGTCTGAGAATCTAGAAATGCTTTGCGAATGAGGAGCTTCCAGACGATGTTCGCTTTCAGATGTTTTACGACACCGGATCCACTTTGGCGCTATTCGTCTAAAAGAACAGTCACCTCAACTGCAACTAGAAGTATCCTTGCTATATAATAGCGTTCCGGCGCTATACTATTGATATGTATTATATACGCAGTCAGTCGCTGGCGTTGCTCGAATTCAGTACAGGAACTTCAAAGATAAGAATAAGCAGGCTATGATCTCCTGAGCCGCAGTCAAGTAGGGAGATCCGGATAAATATAGGTATACACTGTCTGCCTCGTCGGGGCAGTATATACAACGCTATCGCCTAGTTATATCACTATCACGGCTTAATACCCAATCGTGTAATGTAGCTTAGAAGATTACAATCGCACCAGTGTCTAATTATTTCCCGAGGCTGAGTCCGTCACTATTGGATCTTAGGTATATAAAGGGCCTCCTTCCCCCAGCCGGTTGTAGACTTCCGCACGACCCAGTTTGGGTCGAAGGTCTCGACCCAGAACCCAACCCAGTCTGGGTCTGGGTCGAAACCTCATAACCCAGGCCCAACCCAGACCCAGTGACTGGGGCCCCAGAAAACCCAGTATAGCCCCAGTTCGACCCAGTTTCTGTATAAATTATGGCATAAATATTTAAATAACATACTGTCATTTTCCCCTGTTATGGTTTCTATATCGAAATGCTACACTCTCTACCAACAAGGGAAAGGAAATTTTAAGAAATTACCTCGTTCTTCAAAGCAATATATCTGGTTCAAGATTAATTACTTCTTCAAATGCTTTATTTCATATGGAAAGGTGGTATATGTTGGCTGCTGGTTTTCTCAAGCGTACGATAGCATTCCATTCAAAATACAAAGTATACCCCAAGTTGTAGATATATATATTCAATATACATCAATATAATATATATTTTCATCTATAGAGTAAAATAATTTTTGAATTCATTTATTTCTCTTCTTCTGTTTAATTTTAGAGCTTATATAACTATGGATAGATATCTAGTAAACCTTTATATTCAAAACTACTTACTACCTCTTAATCTACTTGGTATATACGACTTGAAGGGAGGGTAGGAAGAAATATTTTAAGAAGGATTAATGGAACTGGGGTGGGAATTAGGGTTTGACTGGGGTTTTACTGGGTTTACTGGGTTCTTACCGGGTTAAATAGGTTCTTACTGGGTTCTTACTGGGTTAAATAGGTTATGACTGGGTCTTAACTGGGTTATCTCAGGGGTATTTCTTTAGACCTATATAATTTTAGTATAATAGACCAATCAATAAGAGTAGGATGATTTACTATATTTGATATATCAATATTCCTAGACACTTCTACAACTTTAGTGTATTTCTTCCTTTGTACGTTAAAGAATTTCTCCCCTTATATCCCTTTGTATATATTATATATCATTCTCATATTATATCTCAAAGCCAACTTTCCGACTTTGCATCGTCGCTCTATAGTGGTGATCTTGACGATCTCTTATATATTTCAACTGGACAAGTCACACTATCCGCAAGTTAACACACAATCGACTCAAACTTCCGAAGACCAGATGATCCCCTCCTAATCCCCCCTTTATTGAAACGCGTTGGACCCGACCGTAGGAAAGGGTTTATTCTATACGATACAATGTTATATAACGATTTTGTGGACTAGTAGTTAGAGACTGACTACGGGAGGAAAAGTAAGCTTAAATAGGATTCGAACCGCTATACAGAGATCTAGAATAGCTACTATTAGGTAGCTTAGGGTATTGATAGCGCACCAAAGGTTATATATAAGCGCTGTGGGAAGATCCTAGAGTATCCTTATACACTAAGCCCGAACAGTATAGGCAAAGCGCAGTATTATAGTATATTAACCATCCAGAAACATCGGAAAACGGCTGGTTGTTTACGGTCGGAAAAGGGGAAGAAAGCAGAGATTACAAACTTCCTACAAAGAGAGGTATATTTTATATTATAAAACTAAGTAACTATACTAATTTATTATTATTCTAGGGAGAGGTTTCAGTAAGTATACCCTTCTTACAAGAAGATTGGGAGGAGGATCTCCTCCAATTTCTTACTCTCAACCGGCTCCTATTCTATCTGATCGAGCATCTATCATTCAAACGCATCATCAATAAAGCTCGTTCCGCCCTATCCCCTCCAGTGATCCCATCTGCCGATACTATCCGTCGCCGATTGGGTAGTCTAGTTAAAGACCGGCAGCAGCGTATCCTTCGTACGCTGCCTTCTGGCTCAAAGATATCTATTGCGCTTGACTGCTGGATATCTCTATTCTCGTAGGTATTTATGGCTATTACTGGCTATTTTATTGACAGTGATTAGGTATATCGTGAGGTACTACTTGGGTTTAAGCCGCTTTATAGTATATATACCGGCTCTTACCTAAGTAGTGTTCTTATAGAAACCCTAGTGGAGCACAATATTGAAGATAAAGTATTCGGGTTAATAACAGATAATACATCAAACAACAAGATATTAGCTACTGCTCTCCAACAGGCTTTGTCAGATGATACTATTATCACCCGAATACCATATCTTACCCACATTATCCAGCTCAGCCTAAATCAGCTTCTTGCTCGGATTAAGGTAGTTCTATTAAATAAATCAGCCGAGATAAGGTGGACAGAGAAGCAGTTAAGGCTAGCCTAAGAAAATACGAAGCAAAGTTAGATCTCCTCTACACTGAACAAAGTCCGTTATCTTGCGATTTACGTCAATACAAGTCCCCAGCGCAGAGAGACCTTTTACAATCTTCAGACAACTAATATCAAGATCGTTCCAATCTAAGATATAAAGACACGATAGAATTCTACGTTCCTTATACTTCGCCGGGCAAAGAGGCTACGTGCTATCTTCTCTTTATTCTGTACAGAGTATGATTGTGAGGAGATACTACTCAGCGAGCAAGAGTGGCGTTAGATCGACTATCTTCTTTGTATCACCGAGCCCTTCTTTGATTATACAACACAGCTATCAAAGACTCGAGATATCACTGCCCACTATATATTCAAGATCTACAACAAACTATTCGATTATCTTAAGCGATCATAGGCACAGCTACGCCGAAAGCGTGTCCTATAGAAGAAACAGATACTAGAGGCCCTTGAAGCTGGTCGGTCTAAGCTTAATAAGTATTACTCCTAAGCTGATGATCTTCGAGGGAATATCTATACAATCAGTACAATGCTTGCACCGGTGAATAAATTCAAATTCTTCCTCTCCAGTGATTGGGATCAGAAATAGCGAGATACCTATCGACTTGCTTTTGAACAAGCCCTTATTCTATATCAAGCACAAGTTAGAACAAGCAGTCGTGATCTACAAAGCTATCTAACGATAGCCTATCTAAGCTTAAGGCTAGAGGAGATACTTGATAGAAGGGATATATAACCACGAGCTATTACTGATGAAATCAGTCAATATCTTGATAGCGGTAAGTAAATACAAAGAGTATATACAATAATAATACTAATATATATATAGATACTGTTTCTGTTAGGCCGCTTACTTTCTGGAAAGAGCACCAGGCTCGCTTTCCGGCTATTGCTGCCCTTGCGCGAGATACACTCTTATTTCCAGCAACTGGCGCAGGAGTTGAACGCCTCTTTAATACCGCTCGAGATATTTGTCACTATCGTCGTGGTAGAATGAAGAGTGAGACTGTCGAGGTATTAATAATGTTTCTTTGTACAACGAAATTTGATATAGAGGAGTAGGAAGCAACACTTCTTGAGAAATTCTTCTCCTAGGATAAGCTTGAGGCGGCAAAAGAGGAGAGGGAAGAGAAGCTTAGTGAGATTGAGGTTGATCCAATTAGTGATACAGAGGAGTAGGAGGATAAACCGGAAGATAAACCAGGGGATGCAATTGAGGTTGTAATTGAGGATAGACCAGAGGATATACCGGAGGAGAGGCCCTTACCTACAAGTGAATATAGTCGTCCTTGCTCGCTATCATTACCACCAACCTGTACACAGACACGAGTATCAGGGAGAAAACGTAAAAGCAGGGAAGATGATTTATTTAAATACCATTAGCTTGCTTGACAAAGAATCCTCAATTATACGTATCTCTTTTACCCTTTTTACAAATAAAATTAGATATAATCAAGTAAAGCAAATACTCAAAATTACCGCGAATAAATGCATAAGTTATACATTTAGAATCCTTAGTATATTTGTTTAGTTTGTAACCCAGTTTGGGGCCCCAGACCCAGTACTGGGTTACCCAGTCCGACCCAGACCTAGTACTGGGTCGAAGGGTTCGACCCAAAACCCAACCCAGACTGGGTTGGGTCTGGGTTGGGTCTGGGTTTTACTGGGTCGTGCGGAAGACTAGCCGGTTGTATACTCTAATATTCTCTTTTCCTCTTCCTAAGCTTATATCGACTTTCCTCCCCTGAGAGTAGCGACAAAGATTACGATAGTAAGCCCCTCCGATACGATTATTATCACCGATAACGAGGAATTACTAAGCCTCGAGCTAGGTAGCTCACGACCTCGGAGGGCCCCTCGCTGTGATTACAGTTATCGAGATTTTGAGAGTATAATCGTCGAATCAGTCGCTAATAAGACGGATACGACACTATCACGTAAATATAAAAGAACCGAAACGAAAGAGCTATCTACTTTAGTACCAGTTCCCTATAAGACCTTATTCGTCCTTAACTAATAATAGACTAGGAAAACGCCTTTAAGGAGCTCCGGGGGGCGGTTAGCTGTAAAATACAACGGCTATAAGAGAAAAATTGTATCCTTCGAGATAAACTTCGCTAAGAAAGGGAGAGGCACTAAAAGACGTAAGAGGAACTTTCCTAGCAAAGAGAAAAGTATATCTTAGAGTGCAAGATCTATTATATACAGCCAGATCGCTGGGTACTTATTCTGTATAGGTATATAGTGTGTAGGTTATACGTAGGAAGTCTTAGAACAATAGAGAACTGTCCTATCTACCGGGTATATATCACGGGATATATCGGATACTACCCTTTTATAGGATAAAGTATATATTTATATATCGTGTTATAGGTCTAGTTTAAATAAAAGTCTATAATCAACGTATAACTACCAATAGACTCAAATTTCTACTAGATACTCCCCTAGGAAACTGTTGTGGCCGTTTTATCTCTACCCCAGTAGACGACGAATAAATACACTTAAGATCTAGATCAAAATACTTGTGACCTATATAGACCGTAGTTAGAAGACCGAAGGCCCTTACAGTTACTAAGCTAGGGTGGTCGCTAGTTAATAGTTTAAAAGCCTACCTAGACTCGGAGCTGTGGACGTACGTCCAATATAGGTCTGCCTCTATAGCTGTCGGTACTTAGCCTAGAGTCAACTGTCCTGGATCACGGGGCCTAGAACTAAAGGCCGTATAGCCGCAGCTCCTCAGCCACGGACCTATATCTCTAGGCCTAGGACCTATTTGGACATGATTCCACAGATTTATTACAAAGTCGGCTTCGTATCACTCGATATATATCTAGCTTAGAGAGCGAACCATATAGGCCAGGAGACGCTGTTTCTGGATCTTTAGGGGCCTCAAAGCACCCCAAAGTAGGGTTACCAAAACACGGGTATCCAAGAATACAGTATCAGAGAAATCCAAGAAGAGGACCGGTTGCTGCGCCGGATGATTCGAAATTTTGCGTCGTGATTGAATTTCATCCCCTCGGCCCGTTATCTTCATGTCCAAAATTAAATCAGTACAGTAGTCTATTCCATGTGGTTCGTTTGGTGTGTTACGGCTGAGAATAACATGTTTAGTCATCTCATTGGAAGCCAATCATCGACCCGATGTGGAGCCTTACCTATTAAGGCCACAGAGCTCGCTTCGTTTGTATCCTTTTTAACCCCCCTGAAGGATTTTGGTATATACCCGTGAAATCCATTGATTGAATAGCATAGAGCTGCTGCCTACCGAAATCTTTCTATATTTATTCTTAAACGTCGTTGGAATCCTAAGTACTGTTGGTTATCTTTCAAAGTAGAAAAACGATATCATTGCTTAGCCAGAAGACTTCTGAGATAGGACCTACGATCAGTCTATTGATATCTGAATTACACCTGAATATACAAGCAAAAATAATTATACTCAAAACCACAAATCACAGACCCCGTAATCGCTTTGACTGACGTGGTATATATTTAACAGTGGACGCATTCATTTTACCTGATCGTCCTTTACCCTTCTGCGGCCCCCTAGGCTGCTCTTCTAGGCGCCCTCTTTTTCGAGACGAGCGCGTCGTATACTGTGATAAAGATTCCAGCCTAGGGCCAAGTTCTAGATATACCGCCTATATAGCTCCCCTCGTCACTCTCCGTGTAGAAATCTCCCCTAACTTTAAATCGGTGCTCGTTGTTTGATATCTAGGAGAAGAGACAGAAATATCAATTCTTAATAGGTAGGTTGATAGCTTTACGACGGTAATAGGGCCGGGTCTTATCAATCGAGGATCAATATTTATTATATCAAAATCGACAGAGGAGGCGGGAGTTTCAGTGCCTTACCGATTCTCAGATTCTATAGATATTTCCCTAGAAGAACTGTTATCGTAGCTAACCCGTGGCCTTTCGGTGAGATAATATAGTTTAATACTAATATTATATTTATGTTTATTATTAGTATAGGCTAAAAATTCGGTGATTTTAATAAACTTAGGAAGATCGAGATAGGCTTCCTAGTTATAGCTGATCCCGTTGTGTATATAAACTAGATAAGAGTCGATAAGATAACGACGAAGTAAGTCCGGTCGCTTCGAAGGAAATTTATATAGAGGCGGGTTCGATACTGAGCGACAAGACTCACTAAAACAGATAATATAAATATCTATTGGATATATTTGTGTATTATTATTAGACGCTAGTTACTCGGGCTATTCAATAGGTATATTTACCTCTTTATCGAAATCCTAATTAATATAGTTACCTCGCCTACTCGGCTCGCAAAGCAGTAGAAGCGTAACTATATCCTTAGTAACCTAGATATATCGAGTAAGTAATTTATCCTTATAAAAGTCTTCTACGTTAGGGCCGTAAAAGTTCTCTATAAGCCGAGCTCGTTCAGGAAATATATAGTCCGGGATAGGGAGCTCCTAGTCTTCTTCAGCGGAACTATCAGTATCGCGTTCCTCAATATTAGATTCGCCGAGAAGTATTTGCTTAATCTGTCGGTTAACTTTAAGCACAGGGGTATTATTGAAATAGTCCTTTCTAGCTAACTCGCGAGTTTTGATCGCTAACGTTTTCCGAAGTTTAGCTATATCTTTTTTAACGGTCTTATACCTTTAGAAGAGGTATAGAAAGGTATTATAGGTATTCTTAATTGTACCAGCTACGGACTGTATCTCCGCTATAAGCTCTCTTTTCTTGTGTTTTAGTTACAGAATTTCAGGGTTCTAGCAAATAGTATATTTATAAGCTTCGGTAAGATCAGATAGTGCCGATAAATCTCTCTTCCTAAGTATACTCCTAGCGAAGTGTACTAGACCTTCTTAGGAGGGTCGAAGAAGAACGATATACTGAAGGTCGCGCGTAATAAATTGTGATTAGTAATATTTTTTAAACACCGCGTTACTAGACTACCTAAGTACCCTTTGTCGCTCCTAGCTAGTAAAATTTTCTGTAAGTAGATAGTTAGCTCTGTTACGAGAGATCCTATCTATTATAGCGAAAATAAATCTATTATATCGCGTTTAGTAAGTGATATACTGTTAACTTTATTTACTGTCCAGCGGCGGAAATTATAATACCCAATATCGTCTTCGAATCTAGTATCTCGACCTAACTCCTTAAGCGCCTACCGACTTAAATTATAGGTTATTAGCAAAGACCTATCGAGTCTATAGCCGTATAGAGTGCGTTAAAGATATCGAAGGAGAGGTATATTAAGGACCTCGGGCTTCTACCGGAGGGGAAGAGATAAACTACCTCTTAGAACTTATAGCCGCTAAATAAGCTCTAGTGTAAGGTCGGTATTAGTAAAAGCTCTATCGCGGAAAGCGAACGCAATAATCTAAGCTATCGGGTAATATACCAGTTGATAATCGCTGTATATAAAGAATTTAGTTCTATAGGTAAGGATCAGTATCGAAGTTAGTTTATAAGAAATTCGAATTAAAATTTCAGCTTACCTATCAGCGCCTTCCGGTCGACCTTTAAGATTGCGAAACTCGATAATAGTATAGAGGATATTACGTTTACTTTAAAGGTCTTTTAGATAGAAAAGTTCGATATCGCGATAGTAGACCGAGTCCGGAAGATCTTTTAAGGAAATATACTTTAGAAGATCACTCTAGAAGGTATTATCCCGTTTACGTTTACCTAAAACTGGATTATAAGGCGACGAGGTGTCTTAAGGAAGTAAGACGCTAGGTCGTGTACCTATAATAGCGGACTAGAGCTAGACTATAGTAAACTGAACAATTATACTCCTATAACGAAAGAATCTCGAATAGACCCAGTGATACCGGTAAATCACACCAAAAGTATCTATATCCAGAGTATTTTTGTCCTTTGTTCGTCGGGGAATTTTACGCTCGGCTAGGAATACACCTACGAGAAACTTTTCTAGGATAAGAATACTCTGTTTAAGAACAGATAGGATATAACTTACTCGTCGTATCTGTTAACGGGTATCCTCACCGACGCAGCGACGGGCGAATAGCTCGAAGTATTGATAAAGGCGTCGCCAGTATTTATTATACGACTGAAGCAGTTTCTTTCGTGATATTTTGAATATCTAATCAAAAAAGTTTATATAGATCGTCTGATCCTCTAAAAGAAGAAAGTCTATATAGTCCTCGTTCGATTGAATACAAAATCTATTATTCTTAGTCACAAGACTTTTCCTAACCAAGTAAGCACTTACTTTCGCCAATAACGTTCGACGATAGCAATACCTTCTAAGGTCTTTAGCTTAAAGTTTAGAGGGAGCTATCTAAGACTGCGAAAATATTCTAGTCTGGCTCGAGTTTCTTCGTAAAGAATAGGATCGGTCTAGTATTGGTGCTTATCAGTTTAAGCTGGATATATAGGGGTAGGTGATATAGAGGCGGTCGGATACAAAGTCTAGGGTGGAAAATTTGTATTGTAGGAAACGATAACGTTAAGGTCGCCTTAAAGCGTAGGTAACGAGGGTGAGAAAATAGGAAGTGTAATAACACCGGAAGAGAGGGAAGGCGATATATCTTATAGGCGCTTAAATAGACTGGGCGAAAAGGGAGGGGAGCTATTTTCGGCGTCGTTTTGGTCGCCAGTAGAAACGAGGGGAATAACTGTGCAAGTCGAGCGTCAATATCAGGACTGGAGGATAACTAAAAGTACTGGGTGGGTGCAGAATAGTGGTGTTACAGGGCAGTGGGCGGTTAAGGGGCGGCTGGACGTCCAAAATTACGGGTGGAAAGGCAGCCGTTTCTGGCCTCAAAAGCGGTCATTTTCGGCCTCAATCCCACAGGTCCTTATATTCTAGTTGTAAAGAAACCTTTAATTCTTAGATTGGAGCCAACGCGTACAGTTTGTCTCTGTTCCGGTAGTTAGGCTATCAACGGATAGCCTATAGCCTACCTATCGGTGTATTGATTGTTCACAATGACGTCGGAAACACCGTAGGCTATATGGAATGAACTGTTCCATGTGAGGTGACACTACCGTGTACAGCATGCGATCCGACCGGCTCCATATATAAACCCCAGGAATTGCCATTCTTCATCAATACAACTAGGCAGATCATCTTTCCGAGCATTCCAAAACAACTCAAATTCCAATATGCAGGAACCAACCTACGACCCTAGGTGAGTAAAGCACCAACCCAGGTTTCCGGTTGAAAACTAATTAAAAAGCCGCCCGATGCCCACGCTAGAAATCGCCTACTCGTACAAGCTGGTTGGCATCCCCAACAAGACAATCGTTAGTCTGCGCGTCGAATTTCCACCCAATGGATCAACTCCCCCGCATCGCCACGGGGGTGCGAACGTTGGTGCTTACGTCCTCAAAGGAACCCTCCTCAATAAAATGAACGAAGCGCCCATGAAAACCATCGAAGAGGGCGGAAGCTGGTTTGAAGCACCGGGTTGTCATCATCGCATCAGCGATAATGCCAGCAAGACCGAGCCAGCGACGCTCATTGCCACTATGATCACAGATACTGATGTGTTTGAGAGGGATGGCATGGGGGCGCTTCTCCAGATTGACGAGGAGTATCGGAAATGAGAATAGCCGAGGATTGAAATGATTAATAGCACTCCCTGTCAAAGAATGAATATAACCACATAATCAGCGATTCAAAAAAAAAAAGTAGGTATAATACCATTAGAGCCTAAACCCCCGTGATATCTATTTTAAAATAAATGAACTCATTTCAGTTAGACCAGGAGCATCCGCATCAAAAAAGGCACAAAAGTCAAAATTAGCGTCGGGTAATATATCCAATCCCGGGAATGCAGGCGAAGTTGGATCTAGAGGGGACATATCAACAACACCCAAATTGGCCGGGGGATCTTTTGCAAGAGATAGCAATTCCCGAGCGATAATTCCAATCTCACGGTAAGTCCGTTTGCCTAGTGTCCAGTGCTCGCTTAGACGCTTCAAAGTACCCATACTCAAACGGATCTTCTCCCGGCCTTTGGATCGAAGGTCCTCAGAAAAGATAAACCTGCAAGCCGATAGATGTGCAATAGTCACATTAGCGATCATGCAAATTATGAAGGGAGAATGGTTCTTCATATTAGCTGGCAGAGTCAACAGTTCATCAATGCTATTGATAGCCTGGGTGCATTTCACAGTATGTAGGTCACGCTCCTTCGCATTGTTGCATTTTAGTTGTTCCGGTGGGGCTATCGGAGCACAGTGTGATACGGATTCGATTGCGCTGTGTGTCAATGCTGACAACGGCCGATGAATTTCAATTGTGTATCTAAACTTAGGTTAAACAAACGGACAACAGTTGAGGAAAGTGTGGAAATCTCACGTGTGCATAATGAAGAATGCTTTGAACATGACCTCATCAAATGATCCATCGGGACGAATTAACTGCCTCTTCTCCAGAGAAAGAAGAGAGAACCATGCTCGAACACTAGTATCAGAGCTAGCAGCCATCGTAGTGTATATTCGATTATTTGCAGTGTTGCCTGGAGACAATGCCCGGTCAACTCCACGGGTCAAGCCAATAAGTTCCGCATAAGAGGAAAATTTAGTTTCATCTTCTTCAAGGAATTCCCTGTTCTCATAATCTTCTAGGGATCGCGGGTGTGGGATCGCCTAATAAGGTCAGTTCGACCCCTCAAAAGGAACGAAGCGATTGGCCTACCCCTTTTTCATACTGTTCTTCTTCACAGGGAAGGTCGGTAGTGACCTCAATGCCACTTGTTCGGAACGGGTAAATATGGGTAGATCCTGCGCTCATCAGAAATACAATTTGAGCAATAATCATGTTTAGGGAGCGTACCAGCAATATGGGCATCGGTAATATAGATCACCCACCAAGTGCGGCGCCAGCTTTCTTCTATTACAGAATCGGCTTCTGGGTAGTTTTGCGCGAATTCCTTTTTGTTCATCCCAAGGGCTACCGCCATACGAATTGCCTCATTAAGGAACTCCGCGCCACTTTCTGTTTCATTGCACCAGTAGACAGCGATGGAATAAAGCAAAATAGCTTGGACATCAAACGGCGTAAGCGGTCGCGTTGAAGACCTAATTTCGGCCACCGAGTCCTGAGCACGTCGAGCCCACGATTCTAATAATTGAGACGGACAGGAAATATCGAAAACCGATCCCACATAACACATTACTTGAAGGAGAGGTTGAATTTTCGGTTCGTTGAGACGAGTCTTCAAAACTTGGAAAGGCAAGGCGCAAGGATGGGCCTCATGGAAGAACTCATAATACAAACTCAGAAATGGGGACATTGAGTTGGAAGATGATTCAATCTCCCCGTTAGTAGTAACGGAAGAAGATGAAGAGATAGTCGAAGTTTGCAGTAATGAGATAGTGGTATTCTCATAGACAGCTCTGGGAGACGACAGCGTGGGCTTTCCCGGTTTCGGATTTCCACGTCGGCGTGATAGAGGATAAACACATTCTACAGTGTTTGTGGCGCAGCGTGAGCAGGCGGGCTTACGACCGTCACAACGAAGGTGTTTGTAGCGACATTGTGCGCACGAAAGGGAATTACGTGTTCCACGCCTGACAGCTTTGTTCCTGCTTGGGGTTTCTGACATGGTGTTTGATGATATGCGAATAAGTGGTGAGAAAGGAAGCAATATTGGAAGAGTCACATTCCGTGGATTGCACTGGGAGGCGACAATTTTAGATTAGTCATGCAACCCCGGCGCCCGGGGCTCTCGGACAGGTGGACTCCAGGGCTACGAGGCCCCTGGGGTAGATCTGGACACCGAGCGCCTGTAATTTATGAGAAGAAAAAGCTCCAAGTGATCTAACCAGGATTTATCAATTGACTAAAGTCTTCGGCTCAATTATGTATTGGATTCATTATGGTCCAGTGTGGCGCTGATGTGAGCCGGAGAGAGCAAATATATATCTTGATCATGAAGTTGATTGCTAAATCTTTTGGTTCCCAACTTGTGGCTAGACACCGCAAATCCAGACAATAATAATAACAACAGGAAAGGCAAGCAAGATTGATGTTTTTGATATCTCACCGCAAATGGTGAAGTCCTTCGTCCTTCGACAATTGTGTAAAAAGAGCAATCATCCTTTCACGGGCGGATGAATGTCTTGTATTCCACTTGTGAGAGTGACATCGCTATGCCAGCCTTTAAATGCCCGAGTTTGTAATCTCAACGAGAACATGTGATCAATCTCCATTGGCGTCCGACCTTTCATCTCTGGGACAGCCAGCCACACTACAACGACTGCAACTGCGGCTAATCCTGCCATCACGAACCCTGTTTTCGCTTTCAGGTTTCCTTGGTCGGCGTTGTAGATATACGGCAAAATGATGGCAAATACTGCAGTTCCTAAACCGGCCGAAAACCACCCAATACCTTGGGTCTTAGCTCGGAGCTGCAGTGAAGACGTTTCGGCTGCGACCACAAAAGACGCGGGCCACGACCCAAGACCAGAGATCATGGTAATCAGCATCATGCTGACGGCAGTATACCTAGTGCAAAGTTAGCTCATCATTTTCGTGGTCTAATATAGTATCTTACCAAATAGTCACGGTTCCCTTGAAGATTCCTGCGATTCCTACCGCGAACCATAGGACCATAACAATACCCAGGGTCAGGAGAATGAGAAATCTTCTCCCGAAGGCATTCAGCGCCCATAGGCTAATAAAATTCGCAATCAGGCCTAGTCCGATACCCAAAATCAAGAAAACCAAGCTATTAGCTGAACTCATACCCACAATCTGCATAAAGTAGGAAGAATTTGCTAGTAGCTGCAGCCCAAACAACTGAGGTATTATGTTTGCAAACGCTACAATCAACGTTCGGCGCAGGTTGACTCCTCTAAAACAATCAGCGTATGTATGGGTTGCACTCTCCAGTTCCTCTGCTGCCATTGATGCCTGTAACTCGTCAATCACAGCTTCAGAGTTGACATGATTTGTATCAAGCCGTTTCTGTTCCTTGAGAGCATCATCTGTTCGTCCCTTTCTCAAAAGCCATGCTGGACTCTCTGGTAAAAACGCTGCTAGAACAAACGGTATGGCCGAGAATGGCCATTGCGACGCAAAGCAAAGCCGGTATGACTCTGCACCTGTATGCTTAAGCGAAGTATAAACCACGATAGACCCAACGAGTTGTCCAAGAAGCGTGAATATCGGATAGAATGCAATCACCGGTCCTCGGAGAAGAACAGGAAGTACCTCGGACATGTATGTCTGTGTAACACAAAGAAGAATGCCAATACACATTCCCTGGAAGAGTTTACCGGCGAAGAATACCCCCCGACGAGTTTCTAGGTCATCTGGAAGATCGGAGATGTAGCATATCGCGACCGCAATGGTGGATAAAAAACTGCCTATAGCGAGTGTAATCCGACGCCCACCACGATCCTGATAGTAACCACCGAGTATGGAGCCGAACATCAAGCCTATACAACTGGAGACATTCCAAAGCGAAAGCCACATTGTGGGGATGATGTATCTTCCATGGTATTCCTGGCCGAAAACAATTCTCTCGCGTGTCAGCAGCGATGTATTCTATTATTTTGGGGGGGTAGATTATTTACTGAAACTGAGGCATTGCAGCCACCGTTGCCACAATGACAAGGTCATATCCGTAGAGAAGAATTGCCGAGCTCAGCGCGAAGCAATAGCCCACGATTCTTGGAGATTTCTTGACCGATCGCCATAGTGAGACCTGTGAGGTTTTTTTGCCTGTATCAACAACAGCAATTACAGCGACATCATCCTCTTTGAGATCTTTGGTGGATTGTGTATCAATGAGATTCATATTGTACCTTCTGCAGGTACTTTGAGTGGCAATAAGAGAGGATGGCCAGGGGGATTTTCTTTGTCTTAAATTTGTAGATGAAGGACCCGTACAAACTGATAGAACAAAGAAACTCGTATACTAACCTTGAAAGGGGGGGGGGAACTGGGAAGCATTGAGCTATATTGAAATTAAAATTCATCCAAAGCGTCTGCAAGGATAACCAACGAAACAAAATTATTCGAATTGAATGTCTCGTTTTTGAGGCTTTTCAAGCACTGACTGCAATGTGTCACAAATAACCAGGGTAGCCGGGTGGTTTCTTGATTCTACTTGAGTACGGGGCGTTATCCCCGCACGACTGCCAAGTGATCATCTTTGAAAAGAAGACTATTTCTTCGTAACTGGGGTAATTCCTGGTTTGACCGCTAGATCGTGATCATATGCCTGAGCCCCGTGTCCAGCATATATTCAGCAATGCACAGGAGCTTCAAGCCAAAGGAGGTTTTGCGCCCGCCACCAATTGCCTAGACTTACAATCAAAACGGCTGATACCGTTAACAGAAAGATAACACTGCATAGGCCGGAACTCAAACCCGACCGGGAAGGTTTTGTATAGTGCACTGTAGGGCCAAAGTAAACGAGTAGGGCTCCAACTCGCGACGCTGAAAGCCTTTTTTCAAGGAATACACCCGTTTCCGTTTTATATCGGAAACAGCCCTGTCTTCTAGGGACCTTTAATATAATGCGTATCGGACTTTCAGGATCTAGATTGAACGGAGTGGTTGTAGTGTTGAGAAGAGGGGGAGACATGCATTATGTGTTATGTCGACGGGTCCGGTACAACAGCCCAGAATTAATTAGCCAGCCTGGCCTGTATATGCAGGCCACCATATAATACGAGAGCCAATTTCCGTCGACCGTTATGATCCAGAACCTCCTAAGTTCCTATCACTTTCTATCTGCCAGGAAGTTTAACACCACCAGGCTGAATATATATGAGGTATGGGCGGCTACATGAAGTAAACAAGAGAGATAGTCCAGAAAATCAGATAATATTGACCGAGAATCTCGAAATTAGTTATCCGGGTGTATTCATCGTTGTGGGCTAGCTTCCTGTCTCAACATACTCGGAAAAGAGGTTTTCCAAGGGTATCTGTGAGAAAGCAAGATGTGCATCATCTCGGCTGGGTCCTCTAGTTTGTCTTGCTTTGACCTATCACAGTTCTGAGTTCAATTGAGTCAGACCCCGAGTATGCTTCCTTCATTTTCTCCAAGTCCCCTAGGTGTTCCTTCAACGCAGATATCTCACGTTCGAGCTCAGCCGATGAAGCGAGTCGATACTTGAGTTTTAGAATTGCAGCTGAAATCACAAGCAGTGCGAGAGATGTAGAGTACGCCCACTGACCAACCTGGCTCGGACTCTCCTCTGATGTTCCGTCACGATGGATTTGGATCTCTATCCAAATGACAAATGCAATGATGGTAAACGGACTGATTATCATGCTGAAGAGTATTCCGAAAAGAATTGCAGCGTCGACGAGAACATGGAGAAAAGCCTTGAGAAACCAAAGGCTGAGTATGTGTCGCATTCGGCGCCGGACACAGGCCATCTTGCTTGTCAGTCTCAAAACTTCTTTGCTATCCAGGTTGTTTGGTGCTTCCAAAGCATCAATAACTTCGCCTTTGAAGCTTCTCCACATATTCTTTCGCTCTTTCCAGATGACCACGATCTGCGCCGATGGGATCCGCGATCGATAAGGTAGAAATCGGTAAGTCAAGAGAAGGCAATTCAGGATCAGGCAGAGAATGATAAGACTGTAGATGTACCGATGCGAATAAAGGACCTTTCCCCAGAAACTATGTGAGGAAGCGACTTTAAATTGTCCCTCGGAAGTGGTTGAATTCAATGATCCTGGCTGTCGTAATATTTGGGTTGAATTAAAGCAGGGATTGAAGCAGATATCTCCCAGTTGGTTCCATCTTGATATGTTCGAAAACGTATCCCACACACTGTTATTCCACGTGGATGTTCTCCATGAGGCTTGCCAGCCGTCATTTGTTGTGTCATCGAAAGGCGGAATTTCAGGAAAACAAAACATGTACTGCGGTAACGTTTTGGGTAATTTGGCGGCATAAACGAGGGCACATATAGAACCAGCCAACATGAGAGCATTCCATAGATAAAAGAGAAGATTTCGTGCCCGATCGTGGGTTAGGATACGGGACCAGCATTGCAGGGGCAAAAAGACGAGGTAACCAGTGACAACAATGGCAAGAACAGCGTCTGAGTCCAACTCAAGTGACGCGGGTGAGACCATAACATGGTCTGTTTCGGTGATTAATGAAGGGAATTCTTTTCGCAAGCTGAAATTAGCCGACAGGTATGGAATAGTGACAGGTCCAGGGTCTTGGGGTGTTTGGTAACTAGAAGCCATGATGAAGGCGTGAATTGCAGCAGTCCCTGCGTATGTCGCTGCAGTTCCTAAGAATACATTCATGACCCATCCTGTCCATCGAGTGACACAGGTCGCAAGCATAAGCGTATAGAAGAGATATCGTGGACATGAGTTGTTGATTGTACTGATTGGATAGAAGCAGAGAGTCTCTTGGGCAATAAACAAGGGGGAACCCGTGTTACTATCCATTGGGGCAACGAAAGAGTGAAGAGAGTTCAGGTGGGAGGATACATATTATTGTAACTTCTTTTTCTGTTGCCTTCAGGTGTCTTTTTTTTTCTTATTCGACTCTTGTTGGTTGCGACGTCATACCTAAATACATAATGCCGCTCTGGAGATACATTTTCCGATCCTCATTTCAGCATCTTTCTACATATGGACTTACCAATATTCTGCGAAAATGAAAGTGAAAAAGAAATAAAAAACCACTAGTACATTTAGTAGTATCACAGCAATTAGTAACACAGATTTTGATGTAGAAAACGCAATGAATCAAAGTTGAAATGTTGATACTTCTACACTGAGTAGAAATAGTTCCAACGGTTGATCAAATGTTATGACATATGGGCCAGAGTAAAGCAGTCATTATATGTATTCTATTTAAAATTATCACACCCCTCATTCATTGATTCAAAAGCAATTACCAACTCCAATCCCCGTGTACCACTCCAATTAATCAATATCACCATAAGCGATACGATCATTCAGCGTTTCCTATCATTGACCTCATCCACAACAAACATTATCAGCCTTGTAATGGGGCCACCCCGACGCTTTTGTTTTTGGTCTCGTCTTTTTGCACGTCTTTGCCCCTGAAGACGGCCACTCTCTAGCTCCACTGAATCTTCTCCACGGCTAGAGACACTGGGCTGCTGGGTATACTCTGCAGCTGGTCGTACTTGAAGTGTTAGGCCGATGCCCAGGCACACAAGAACAACCAAAATTTCTTCTAGGACGGACATCACAAGCTGAATTGTGACACTTCCTGACAAGCTATTGAATTGAGACTTGTGACCGAAGGCATAGATGAAAGAGTAGATCAATCGCACGAGGATCAAGGGGAGGGAGACTCCCACAGCCAGGAGGAGGCGATGTTCTCCGTCCTCAATACTTTGAGATCGGTTCAAAACCAGGAGGAACAGTCCGCACACACCGATCCAAGCAACAAGGTAGAGGATAAGCCCTATCTTCGTCTTTATGTTGATAAGGGCATGGGTGATATCGGAGTTCTCCGTTGCGCCGACGATGCTCAGAATCACAGCAACTAGTGCAAATAATCCAACAAGCCGGAAGATTATCGGAGGGAGAGGGTTGGCGGTCTTGCGCATAATGGAATCATTTCTAAGGAATTGTGTTAGCTGCAAATCATCAAGTCAATCTCGAACAAAGGTGTTGCTCACGCTCGTGATAAGAGGCCAATACAAGCCAAGATTAATGGTGACAGTCCGATTGAAGTACAAACAGCCCATGCAATATATAGATTGACATTGGAAGGATACTGAATCGTGGCCAAATAGCACGCTGAGCCAACAATGCGGGCAAGACAAAAGACGACGAAAAAATACCAGCCCGAACTCCTTTTGAAACCATGGTGAAATGCCATCCAGAGAGCGAGAAAGAGTGTTGGAGAGTAAACGATGACCTCTAGGATGGAGATTCCATGGCGATAATCGATGGCCATAATAGCAAATAATAATGGATAGTACTGAGGAAAACAGAAAATTGACTGATGCTTGTAGTGCCCTCAAATTATGGGTGCTTGTCTGCTATTTAACTCTTCCGGTACGATCTCAGCTCGCGCTGCTTTCCTATTCCTCTCCATTCATAAGGCAGTGCAATTAATTTCGATACCAGAGCCACGCACTCTATGAAAATATAGAGTTGCGGATACTTCACTCGAAGATGTGATTGGCCGATCGCATCTGCTCAACCACACACTGCATACTTGATTTGGCTTAGTGCGTTGGCCTACCCAAAACAGGCATGTAGGTAGTTCCCGAGGGCTAAGCCTCTCTAAACGCCAATTGCTTGGTGAAAACTTTGCAGTATCTGACTGTATCTCTTCTTTATACGAGCGGAAAATTTTCAAAGGATCAGCCGAAGATGAGTTCAATTTTCTTCCCAGCCCTCATCGGCGACCCCTTCCCGCAAATCCCCTTTGTGGCTTTTTCTCAGGCATCCCATCACTGTCGCTTATCATCATAGTCTAGCGATACCATAGCCTGTTCCAGTATATGCCATTCATAAACAAGTGTATGATGGCCGATGTAATATGTATGAGGATAACGGCGTTTCGTTCAACATAGTCAGTCTGAGGATTATCGTGATATTTCACTGTGGTCGTAGTCTCTCCACACCGTCAAGGTCGTAGGTGTGCTATTCTATTCCAGTCAGAAATGTTTAATATAAGAAATTTTTAATTGTGCCATCCATACACTGATTTTAGACTTCTCAGCCTCTCGTTTACAACTGAAACTATGGTCGGAAGTGTGCCTGTCCCACATTATGAGTAATGTAGTGGTTAGAGTGTGAGTCTCCGAATGGTTAGGGTGGTGATGTTCTCGATAAGACCAGATGGTGTGAGGAGTCTACCCTTATCCCCAGCTTAAGGGTCACAGACATGCAATCCCCCCCCTCCCCCTGCCAGCATAGCTGAGGCGGCTCCCCCATTACTTATAGGGCCACTCACTGAGCCACTGATGGATTTGTGCGTTGGGATTTCCTTTACGTGTTCTATATAGGACCTCGTTCCTAATCAGGACACATCTACTCAGATCGGTTCCCCCACGGGGATTACTTTTCTTTTATTGACAATGCATTCTGGCAACCTTTAGCTCTCCTTTTTATTCTAAAAGCCACTCTCGTACCAGTCGCTGATAAGTTGTGATTGGCCATGAGACACGACGGGGCTTTACGAGTATGCTACTTCAATTTTGCAACTTCTTGTTTAGAGCCATCATACCAGAGTGCAAGCAAATAATGCTTGATTGATATTATATTTTGATAATTCCAGTAGCCACATTCAATGTGGAGGCCGATGTCGTGATCTCAGCATCATCATCTTATTCTCTCACCTCAGCAGAAATCAGCAGAAAGTATGGACGATGTCTCTCCATTCTCCATTCTGGTTGCCCTGCGACATCCTCCTTTGAAGGAGACCAGTCCTTCAATCCGGTCAACACAAATCCGTTCTCAAGCAAGGCTGTGACGTAGGTCTCAACAGTGCGATGATATTTCCTCACTCCCTCTGCTCCCAGCCAGCTAGTCAAGCGCAAACCCTCACTGCCATAAGAATTTAATGGCCATATTGTCCGGTCTTCACCTGCTTCCTGTATCACCTTGAAGCCCGGCCCTGGATTGACTAGGGCGGTTCCAATGGGGTGTTCAACAGAGAAGATCAGCCTCCCCCTTCGCTCATTATTGCTACCCTTTTTCAAGCAGCTGTGGATTTCACGAAAGAGTCGTACAATATCCTCAATGTAGTGAAGAGTCAGGGAACTGTAAACCAGATCATAAAACCCTTTTTCGGACTGGTTGCTCAAATTTATAGTTTCCAGATCATGAATTTCGAAGATGACTTCTGTAGCAGGGTCTGGCGCCACCACCCCATTTTGGGTTGGGTGGTTTATCTCAGCCTCAAATTCCTTTGCGCGGTTGATCATATTTTGGGAAATATCAACTCCCTTGATGTAGGCAGCGCCTTTCTCTCGGGCCCAGCGGATGAACCAGCCGTAACCACACCCTAAGTCGAGGATCTGAGATCCTTGCAGAGGGTCTTCTGATGGCCGTGTGGGAGAAGACTTCAGATTGCGAATCATCTCCTCCAGAATAGGCCATTCTGGTGCAGCCGGCAGACCGTGTTGGGATCGAGGGAGGTCTCCGTATGCAACGAAGAAGTCCGGGTTGTCATAAATATTTTGGGATTCGACAGGCATGATTGGGACGATAATGTCAGTACCTCGCTGACGATGAGTAACTAGATCACTTCGTGTACCAGTGGCTGAAGATGAGCGATGGAGACAAAATGTGGTAGAAATAACATCTCTCAATTGAACTAGTAAACACTCCCGACATTAGTCCGATGGTGTCATAAAGACTTTTATTTACGATAATTACTATCCTATCATCCGCTCGGTATATTTCCCGATCCGGTCCCCGCTCCATTTTCGCCTACATATTTTAATTGCCAAGTAATCCTCTTATCGCCTAGTTCGTCTAATTTCTCTTGGCCTTGCCGATATACTCCTTAGAAGACTTCCAGATACCTCTTGCACCGATCGCAATATCCTGCCGTCCGTCATAAAGTGGGAAAATCACAACTGCCCCAAAGGCAGCGAACTGCCAGATAATGGCGACAACTACCCACCCCGCGAAGAATGATTTCGTGAAGATGTAGTCGCGATATAGTGGAAGAGGCCAAGCAACGAATGTGATCAGCACGATAGCCCCGAACATGTACCAAGCAATCTTCAGCCATCTGTACAGCTCTTTCAACGTCGCGTCGTCGAATGGGTGTTGAATTTCATCAAGGCTGATTTCCTCGGAAGATGGTGATGAAGCTTTCTCCGTAGGACTCTTTTCGCTGATATTGCCAATCTGCTCTGGGTCGTTGTTGATGCTTTCTGGTTGACTATCGACAACCGGTTTGATAGATCCAGCGACACGCTTCGGATCGCTTGCGTGGTCTTCCTCGCTGCTCTCGTTCAAAGTGCTTGTATCTGAGGGCAACTGGATTGCTGCCTGATCCGCGAGCTCAATTCGGAGGAATACCCTCCAGTCAAACTTATATGGCTTGTAGAGTGACAGGACAACGGAATAGAGAGCTGGCGTAAAGAATGAAGTGACGGCCGCATATAGTGCCGGATAGGGATTTGTAGTGGTCGTGATGTTGATTGTGCCATACATATATTTGGTTGTTGCCAACCATACAGCGAGACCTGAAAAGAAGCCAAGCACGGGGGAGAAAATTGCAGCCATCCGGGTCTGTCGAGACCAGAACAAAGTAAGAATCATAGGGATGATTCCTGGACATGAGATAATGGGCCTCAGGTACCCGATCCATGTCATGTTCGCTCCTCCGTAGTTGAGAGCGATGGAAATTCCGGTAATAAATACACCGTGGATAACCACAGTTAAGTGGCTCACTCCCACAATCTGCTTGTCGGTAGCTTTCGGGTTGAGGTATGTCTTATAGATGTCATAAGACAAGATACTACTGACAGCAATCATCGAGGAGGAAACGGTACTTGTCAAAGCCATGAATAAAAGGAAGAAGAATCCAATAATTCCCTTGTCTCCAATCAGTGCTTTGATGGTGTATGGCATCACCATGCCTGAGCTGACTTCAGTGGCAGTAAGCAGACCGGGGTAAGTTGGAAAGATTGGTGTATCGTGGATTGCCCTCGTTGCCAAACCGATGACTGTGCCTAGACCCCAGGGAATACCGAATACAGCCAATGCAGCGATATTGTATCCTGGCACTGTTGCCTTGACCTCTGTCGCGAAGGACTTTTGCCAAAATGCGGTATCCTATCAACGATGTGTTAGCTTTGAAAAGTACATCGTGAAGCTTCACGACTCTCGAGGGTCTTTCTAGACACCTTTCAATATGAATTGGTGGAGTTAACTTACCATAACAACAAGTGCCAGGTTTCCAAACTTGAGAATCAACCCCCAAATAATTGCATCCTTGGACTTGAATGTAAGAAGTGAACCTTCATAGTTGCCAGGGATGTAATTATCCGCAGCTGTTGCAACGACTTTATCATACAAACCACCCAGTCCACCGACCGCCGAGTTTGTCAAGACAGCAATTGTGAAATAGATGATGAGAATGAGTGCAATAGCCGTGTGCAAGAAGTCCGTCAAGAATGTGGCCTTCAAGCCACCCACAGCTGTATATAGGACAACTATAAAGAAGTCAGCTCCTAATTCCAGTGGCACTTTCAGAAGAGAAATGGTACGAACCTCCGAGGGGAACGAGAATAGTTGCTGCTACATAGTGCATGCCAGAAACACCATGGATGAGCTGAGAGCCGGTCATAATCATCGAGGCGCATCCGAAGACGTTGTTGACGAGGTTGAGCACGATGAACACAAGATGTCCAATCTTACCATAACGCATCCGAACGACTTCAAGCGAGGTATGAGCATAAGGGACTCGAATCTTGGCCATAACACCAAGTGCTGCCATCAGTGCAATTTGGAAGCATAGACCAGATCCCCACCACTATAGCCCGTCAGTCGTGCAAGGATATTTCAGGATATAAGGGCTCATACTAGTGGCACCGCAAGACCATATCTATATGTCATAGCCGCACACAACACTGTTTCGTTGATCCACATCCAGGAACTGAAGACTGCGGATGCACACAAGCCTCTCCCCACGGAGCGATTGGCGACCATGAACATTTCCGACTTTCCAGAATCTTCAGCAAGATATGCTTTCTGTACCTTGACGGCGATCAAAATAACCCCGCAGAACAACACGCTAAGACCAATAAGAAGGCCATAGGCTGCCCCCTGAGGGATCAAAGCCAGTTTGGACATATCTATCGTGTTCGACATGTCTGGCCAAAGTAAAGCCAAGTTCAAAGGCGCAGAGCCGAGGAATATTTATTATCTGCAGGGTCCATCATATCTTCAACGCCAAGCCTGATCTCTGTAGATCTGTAACCAATTGAAGCTCTCTGCAGGATTGTGTAGCAATCAAAGTGGCCATGTGGGCAATATATCTCACGTCGTCCATATCCGCAATTGCGTTATGCGAAATTAGTGGGAGAGATGCAGCTAAAAAGTCTGGATAAAGGGCCATTGGAGGATCGAAAAAAAGCTAGTAAGCTCAATAGTTTGTAGTTACGGAAGATTTATGAGTGCGAGAGGGACTGTGGGTTGGGATTGCGTGCCTTGACTTCCAGATGACGATAAAACGACTTGGAATCGCGACTAACAGGGGTCACTGCGTACCCCACACAAGAGTCTAACGTATCGGCCGACATGGAATTCAAAATATTCCTCGTAAATGTCGAATGGGCAATACATCTACAATGATCCTGGTGCGATGGTGACAGGTCTTGGCGTATACTTCTGCCCGCTATGTATTCAAAGCGGTTCCCGTTGCTCGAGATTCGGTTTTTAGACCTCAGCGCCATTTTAAATTCACCGCGCATTCAAGGTATTCCATCTCAAAATGGGTGAAACTGTACCAGCCTCTGGCAAAAAGCAGATCATCCTCAATGCTTTTGTCATGAATACCCCGGGCCATTTGGCGCCCGGGCTATGGAAGCACCCTAGGAACAAGACCGACCAGTACAAAAATCTCTCATTCTGGACCGAGCTAGCTCAGTTGCTTGACAAAGCTGGTTTCCATGCGATGTTCATTGCAGACACCTTGGGGGCGTATGATGTGTACAAGGGCCCTAGTAATGTTGTGCCCGCATTGGCATCAGGCGCACAGTTTCCCGTCAATGACCCATTGTACCTTGTTCCTGCCATGTCCGCTGTCACAAGGAACCTCATTTTTGGAGTGACTGCCAGTGTGACATATGAGAAACCGTACGCGCTCGCACGTCGACTCTCTACCGTGGACCATCTCAGCCAGGGTCGTGTGGCATGGAATATTGTCACGTCGTATCTCGAAAGTGCAGCCCGAAACCACGGATTGAACGAGCAAATTCCTCATGATGAGCGATACGCAATAGCAGATGAATATCTTGAGGTGCTTTACAAGCTTTGGGAAGGAAGTTTCCGAGATGACGCCGTGCTTGCCGACCGAGAGCTCGGAACATATATTGCTAGCGATGGTGTGCGAGAGATAAAGCATAAAGGAAAATACTTTGATGTGCCTGGGCCCCATTTCTGCGAGCCATCGCCGCAGCGCACGCCATTCCTGTTCCAGGCTGGCGTGTCCGAGGCTGGTGGTCAATTCGGTGGAAAGCACGGCGAGGCAATTTTCATCGGTGGTCAGACCCCCGAGGGTACTCGCTTGACTGTGGATAATATACGCAATATTGCTAAACAGCAAGGCCGCGATCCCAATCACATTAAAGTAATTGTGGGTATCAACGTGATTGTCTCAGCGACAGACGAAGAAGCAAAGGCAAAGCGGGAGGACTATCTCAAATATGCCGATGACGAAGGTGCACTAGCTTTGTTCGGTGGATGGACCGGAATCGATCTGTCAAGTCATGCTGATGATGAAGATTTCCGGTTCAGCGACTCTCCGCGGGTCCAATCCATTGTTCGGAGATGGTCTGCTACTGTGCCAGGCACAGATAGCTTGCCATGGACCAAACGGAGGATCGTAGAGTACATCAGTGTGGGTGGACTACAGGCCAAGGTTGTTGGCAGTCCCACAACTGTTGCAGATGAGTTGGAAAGATGGGTGGAGATCTCCGACGTGGATGGTTTCAATCTTGCCCATATTGTGAATCCCGGGACTTTCGAAGATATCATTGAGTTCTTATTGCCTGAATTGCGACGGAGAGGGCTATTCCGAAAGGGAGTTGAGAAAGAAGGAGCCACAGCTCGCGAAGTTTTTATTGGATCGCAGCGTTTGCCAGAAGATCATCCTGGAAGCAAGTACAAATGGCGTGCTGGGGAGACCATCCCTCAGTACCAGAAGGAGAACTAGATATAGCCATTCTTGTCTTGTCTCCACGCATGTTACAGGGGATCTGACCAATAACATGTAGGGGTCGGGAATAAGTTCAATTAATAATTTAATCCGGAGTCTCGGGGTGTCCTGAGGCATTACAAATCAGTCCAATATAAATAAATGGATGTGTTTGAACTTCACCAGGTACCAAAATTCAAAATGAAAGAAGCCATTATTGACAAGACGGTCTCAGTCATCATCCGCGATGTTGACATCCCCACTCCTCAACCTGGCCAGGTCCTCATCCAGGTAGTGGTGTCGGGTACTAACCCGAAGGACTGGAAACGCCCTAAGCGGCAACCAAACAATGCTGCCATAAACCAGGGAGACGATATCGCGGGGTATGTGGAGGCAGTGGGAGAAGGCGTCCGGAACTTCCGCAAGGGAGACAAAGTAGCCGCATTCCATGAGATGGGCAGCCCACATGGCAGTTATGGTGAATACGCCATTGCATGGGAGTACTCGACATTCCATCTCACCGAAAAGACCAGCTTCGAAGGTATATGCACCGCCCTCTAATTACCACGAATATGAAAGTAACCATATCACCAGAGGCTGCTACTATCCCCCTTGCTGCGATGACCGCTGCATTGGGCTTATATCAAAAGCTAAAATTGCCTCTGCCTTGGACTCCCGCCGATAAACCCACTCCGCTGGTTGTGTACGGCGGTGCCTCAGCAGTTGGCGCATTTGTGATCAAGTTCGCTCAGCTATCGAACATTCACCCGATCATTGCTATCGCAGGCAAAGGTGCTCCCTTCGTCGAGACGTTGATCAGCAGAGAAAAGGGAGACACGATTATTGATTATCGTGAAGGCGACGACGCCGTCTCCTCGGGGATTAAGGCTGTCGGCAAGGGGACACCCATTCGCCACGCCTACGATGCTGTGTCTGAGAAAGGAAGTTATTTGAATCTCGGTGCTGCGCTCGATGCGCCTGGAAAAATCGCTGTTGTTTTACCTGCGGGGGTTGATGAGGCGCGAGAACAAATTACCATCCATCGGACTATGGTCGGGTCTGTTCATCAGCCCCCTGCTGAAGGCCAGTCGCTTGGTGATAAGGAGTTTGCAGCTGCTCTTTTCCAATTCATTGGTCGAGGTTTAGCACAGGGTTGGTTCTCAGGCCACCCATATGAAGTGAGAGAAGGCGGACTGGGAGGTCTTGAGGGCGCATTGAAAGATCTGGAGGCTGGCAAGGCATCTGCGGTAAAATATGTGATAAAGATTTCCGAGAATGAGGGAGTCAAGCAGTAGCTATCTGGCCGAGAAAGTCTTGACTTACTCAATGAGCCATGACAATTGATGCTGCAAAGTACCAGATCGGGAATGTATAGATCGTATAGATCGGGATCGAAATGACATCACCGTAAATTCTTCAAAGTCGCGTGGCGCGTAGACATACCTGTAGACCCGTGGAGTCAACTGCCCTTTCAATTACATACCAGTGTCAAACACGTTCTCATTCCACAATGGCAAAACGCACGCTTGACGCATTCTTCAAACCATCAACCCCGCCAAAACGCCCCAAAACGGAACCTACCACAATCTCAACCCCCGAGACAAACAACACCCCAATCGAAGACACAAAACCCCCAAGCCAACACCAAAGCTACCCAATCCCAATCGCCCAACTCCCCTCGCACATTGAAGTGGGCCTCGAGCATGCAACACCAGCAACCGCACCGCGCGAAATAAACAACCAACCACACCTCGACCTTCTCCACTTCCAGCCCTACATCCCACGCCCAACAGCCAACGAGCTCTTTAAATTCCTCCGTCGCGAGCTACCCTTCTACCGCGTTCAGTACACAGCACGACGCGGCGACATCGAAACGCAAATCAACACACCACGATGGACGACGGTCTTTGGAGTCGATGAGACATCGACATTCATCCAGCAAGACAATAATCCCAACAGCCTTGTTCTACTAGAAAGCAAGACGAAAGCCCCAACCCCGAAGACAAAATATCAATGCACGCCGCGCCCAATCCCAGCATGTCTAGATCTGCTACGGCGACAGGTCGAAGCAGCGAATGCAACCGCAGATACCAAAAACCCCAGCTACAATTTCTGCCTGGTAAACTACTACGCCAACGGAGATGACAGCATCGCATTCCACTCTGACGACGAGCGTTTCCTCGGACCGGAGCCGAACATCGCCTCGCTGTCGCTGGGCGGTGAGCGCGATTTCCTAATGAAACATAAGCCTTTTGTGTCCGGGGGCAATACCAATCGGACTGGCGGATGCGTGCCTGATGCTGCACATGCAATGTCCGGGCCGGGTGGTACCGGTGTGACGCGGGCGAGTAGTATAGTTTCAGGTGGGACATCGGGTACCATGTCTAATCCTGAATCCAGGCCTGCTGCTACGGTGCCACTGCAGCAGATCAAGATGAGTCTTGGGTCAGGCGATATGGTTGTTATGCGTGGGGCGACGCAGTCGAATTGGTTGCATAGTATTCCCAAGCGGAAGGGGAAGGCTGGGGGAGATGACGAGGGGAAGGATTAACATTACCTTCCGGCGGGCTGTTATTCCTGGCGGGACGAATAATTATTACCATTATAATGTTGGTAGTGGGGGGATGTATCGGTGGGATGAGGTATCCAGGGAGATGGTTTTGCAGGATGGGAAGGTATAGCTACGCGGTAGCGAGCCTGTGTACATAGTATGGTCGAACATGAATAAGATTTCAATGAAAATAAAATATACATGAGTGCCGTGGCACGAAAAGAATTGTCTCATGGTCTTGGGCTGGACGTGCAACTCAAGGCGAGACAGATGATATCACTGTGATAGCCTTGTCGGCACATTTCAGTCTTTGTACATTTGCTTCTGATAAGAAAAAAAATAATAGACATCGAAGCAAGTCGTCATATGGCATTGGCACTGTGTTTTCCCAGTAGCCATGGTATCTCTCCCCTAGGGAGTTCCGGCAGGTGCCGGGTAATAAAGAAACGTATTCTGGATGAAATACAAGAGAACTATTCTTGTAAGGCATAAGAGGAATGACTTGAAATGATCAGTAGCTAAAGATGACTTCTTCGCCGTAGACGTCTGCGTAGCATTGGAACAAATCAGGGCAGCTATAATCAAACATGTTAGCGGGTAAATGATAGCTATTTTACGAGACAACTTACAAGACAGGATCCTTGCCGAAGATAATGTGCCACGAGTACTCCATAATGGACGAGGTCACCTCGTCCGGCAGGTTATTGTTCATCACCCAGTCGTACATGCGCTGGTAATCGCTATGGGGGCGCAAGAGAATATTTGTTTTGGAAACGGCAAACTGGGAGCAGCATGGGGCGGCGATTTCGCGGGGAACTGGCTTCCCGGGGAAGAGCTCTTTCCAAGCCTGTGCGTAATATGCCTCGCCTGGGATTTCGCCATTCGGCGGTTGACGGAATGGCTGGATGGCGGAGGGGCATCCTGGGCTCAATTGGCAGCGCAAGTTGACGAAGCCTGCCTGTTGGACGAAATCTCTCTGCAATGCGCGCACCGAGTCCACATTGCTGTATTCCATAGTGTCGATGTGCCAGCCGGTGATTACGCCATCACGGTGCGCGTGCATGAAAATCACGAGATCTGGGAGGGTGTCGTAGTGGTCGACAATGTATTGGAGATAAGGGAGGGCCTCGCGACCCTTATTCTTCGGGGTATGTATCGGAGCATTAACATCGTCGACGGTGTAAATGACGCTGCGCCACCTGGAGAAATTCAATTAGGCTGCCGTCTAGGAAGACAATCGAATCGCACTCACTCTGCCAGTTCTCCCGTAATCCAGGCAGTGTCTTCCTCCTTGCGCTTGCCTACCACAATCGCACCCAGGTTGGGGACTGTGATATCGGTGGTCTGGTAGACCAACGCGGGTTTGTTGTCCGAGGCGACCCGCCATTTCCGTACCGATGCTGGATCTGGTCTGGATTTTGGTCTGAGAGATGTGCGGAAAGAACCAGTATCGAAGTGCAACATATCCTGAATTGATTCACCCTTGGTCTTCAGGCTGCGAGTGACCAGGATGAGACTCAGGATAATTAGTGCAACAGCGGCACTAACACGGAGTGATAACCTCATCATCGCATAACGCAATTGTCGGTATCGAGGGAGAGAGGGTATAGGGGGGGGAGGTGAGGGAGGAGCAAGATGAGAGGAGACCGGTGTCTCAGAACGCGCAATCTTAGGAAAGTAATAAGCACTGCCCCATGTGGAGGTCGGGGAATCAAACTCACCCGCGACTTCTGAACGCGAGATGACGAAAGTGCCGAGTCCAGGGGGTGAACGGGAGCACGGAATACGGAGCACGGAGTACTTCGAGAAGGAATGGAATTGAAATGTGATAAATGATATGAGGTCCAAGAGGTCCTTTTTTTGTGTCAAAAGAATTAAAAAAAAGAGGGAAGAAAAAAAGATGGCAAATTGAAGGCTGTCCTCATTTCGGGAGAGTGGGCTTGTCTCTGTTTGTGATCCATTTTAATCCATTTTGGCCCATTTGGAGCCATTTCGGCGCAATTGGGGGAAATTGGGGCATTTTGATTGGTTCTCGGCATAAGTTTAACGTTCTTGGCCTTTTCTTATCATTCTTTTTTTTTTGTTCAGGGGGCACATATTGTTGTTATTGGGGTTTTTATATATTATACTATTATACTACGGAGTACTCCGTACTTCCAATCTTAACTTGATCCCCTAAATCCACTTCATTGGACCCTATAAATGATACATATCCCATGCAAAATATCCAGTGTTTGAAACTGCAGATCAAAATTTCAATCATATATACCCCAACGCCAATAAAAAAACAAAACAAAAAAAAACGGGTATGACCAACGCCAAATACTAAGACATTCATATCAGCCCGAAAATAGGCAGAACTTTAGAACCCCAAGACAACCCCAAGACAAATCCCAAAGATGTCTAGGACACCACCCGAGGCAAAATATTCACATCAAAATACTCCGAATCAGGCGCCATCCGACCAACCACACACCGCATACTCGACAAAACCGCTAACGGCGCCTTGTCGACCGACCAATGTTCTTCCGCTAGATGTGCCATAAAGGTATCCAAGGTACCATAAACCTGCGTCGATCCCTGTGCCATCGCACAGCAAAAGACACAACAAAATGCCCCGCGGGGAGTATTAGGAGAAAAACGCAGCGCCGAATCTCGCTTACAGCGCACGTGAGATTTCGCTAAGAATTCGAATCGATAGCGGACGCCACTAGCTTGGTGTGTCCGAACTGTTTGGTCGAATTGCGGTTTGCGGCTCGTACTCCTGGGGGACATAGGTGCCTCGAATGCGCACTTCCCGCACCGCAGCCATGACTGTTGCGTGAAATACCCCGTTCCTGGCTCGGTATATACTTTGAATGCCTTGAATCCAGTGTGCACTTTCCACGCGCCTTTGCAGAAGCCCAGGTAGTTGTTCTCTTCGCTGGGTGGCCAGAGGGGCCGGGTTGCTTGGGTTAGTTGGGCTGGTCGGTCGGTGCTGCTTCGAGTGGATGGGTCTGACCGGATCGAGTCTGCTGAGCCGATTGAGGGTGCGGAGAGGGAATATTTGCGGGGTTCGGGGGGTGTGGTGATGAGCGAGAGGTGGTTTACTTCTTTATGGGCCGGGTTATGGCTGATGACGGAGTCGGAGTCGGAGTCCCCCCACACGTTCCCTGAATCGACATCGTGAAGTATCAAGTTTGATTGCTCCTTGAGTTTGTGCGGCGGCGTGGCTGGTCGAACATCAAATCCCGGGATCGGCTCCGAGGTCGACGGCGACACTTGGGTGTACACTCTAGTTTGTCGGACATATCCGGGCTCGGGCGCTGACGTTGGAAATGGCGGTGTACTCCCACGACCTGGACGGGAATGGAACAAGTCGCCCACACTACTAACAACTGACCCAAATCCCGATGACCGTCGTCTACTCGGTCTTATATGCGTAGGCTCGTCCCTCGATGGCCCTTGTGTGTCCGTGGGGGAGGCGCTCATGGCATCCGATAGAAACCGGCCTGTTTGGTAACTGCCTGATGAGACAGGATATCTGGTAGTATGATACCCCGTCTCCGAGCTGTGGAATGGCAAGTATCTATCCGGATGATTGGGGAACTGTCCACGACCGAAGGCATCCACCCTCACATAGTTTGGATCGATGGACATCGAGATCGTCGGCGGAACAGGCGGCGGGATCGAGAGACGCTGGTACAGTTCTCGCAAGATGACGAGAGTACGGACGCGGCCTCGGTCGGACTCTATCTGCAACGCCCTCAGATCAAGAGTTGTCCCCTGTTCCTGCGCCTCGCGGAGGTGCCACAGCAACGCCCCCTGCAGCGTGATGATGATATCTTTCATCTGCTCACGAGCGATCGCGTCGCCTGTCTCGTATGGCCTGCCAAGCTCTCGATGGTGCTGATCATACTGAGATCGAATCTCGGTATGGCCAAGTGCGAGCGACCGTTCTAGTTCCTTGGTGAACTGGCGCTCGTGGTACTTCTTCCTAATGGAACTAAACAACTGTGCTCCATCACCGTAGGCGGATACGACTATTTTCCGATTCCGGCTTGTTAGATTCGTCTATCGAGGATAGGAGAGAAGATCATCTTACTGGCTGCCACACAAGCTACGACCGCGATTACCTCCACCCCCGACATAGTGAGAGAGGTGCGACCTGGGGATATATGGGACTGAGGGGTCGAATACGAGCTCTGCGGTCTGTCTTCGGATCAAAGGATGCAGTAGTACCGAGATCGACGTCTGATATCGATATACAACAAAAAGCTTGGAGGAGATAAGAAAGGGAAGAAATGCCCAGCAAAGGGACACAGTTAGCAAAAGAAAAATCAGGGAAGCGTCATTGGCCCCAAAGTTCTGACGCAGACATGGGCTTAATTGGAATTGACAGCCCTGGAAGTACTCCTGATAGCAAAAGCACAGTCCAGGGCCATTGAACCAATAGGAAGGATAATTCTCCGTATAAGCGAGATGAGGGGGTTTAGAGGCTGATAGTGCCCAGTATAGTAATCACCCGGGTGAGGATAATTATCTTGTTGCCTGTTAGTATGAGATGTCAAAATGATATAAAAGATATACATACAGAGTACCTGTTTAAGAAGCATAATACATACATATATGTACTTTGTACTCCGTAGTGTCCTCCATACGGAGTAAATCAGTGGACATCTACGAAGATCGGATCCACCGTCTCCACAACCGACTCTATACGATACTGATTGCATGTGGCGTGTAATCCTTGTCTAACATGGAACTTTTACACACAAAAGTCCACTTGTTGAATAAACAAAAAGTACCTTCATTCATGCACAATCACCTACAAAAACAAGGCACAAAGGCCGCCTAACCAAAGCCCTAACTACACTATTCTAATCCGTACATCCCTAGATAATGAAACAAATAATCAACCAGTACAAAACCAACGCTGGCCCAAATGCAAATAGACTAAAAAGCAAAGAATCAAAGCCCCCATCCGAGCCAAATGATCAACAACAGCGCCCCTTATTGCGCGACACATGCATAATCCTCTCCTCCTCAGTAGCATCAACATTGACAGCAGCCGCCCCCAACCCCATCCAACTCCTCCTCTTATCGCCATGGCCAAGCCGGAAACTCCCCGTACCCTCCACAACCCCAGGACAGAAAGGCCCGGAAGCCCCATTCGCCATGGACACTCCACCAATTGACAAAGCCAGCTCCGTATCCCGCCGATTGCGCTGTTCAACCAGCTTACGCGTGATAACGCGGAAAACCTCGTCGATTCCCTCGCCATCCCGCGCGCTGATCTCATGGCAGCAATCCCACCCAATCTCCTGCCCCCAGAATGCCGAACTGCGCTTCGAGTCCGGACTCTGCAGGGCATTTGAAGAGAACCCTGCGGCGCTGGCGCTAGCGTTCGATGTGCTACCGCCACTTGTACCTCCGAACACAGATGTTCCAAAACCGAGCCCGCCCATGCCTGCTGTTGCGGTTGGGGGTGGGGTGGAGGCTTGGGTTGGGTAGAGTTGTTCGGCGACGTAGGCGATTGTGCGCTCGAAAGGGACTTGGCGGCGGTTGGGGTTGTCGGCGACAATGTCGGATTTTGTCCCTACAACATGGATGATGAGGGATTCCGTACCGTCGTCGCTGGGTGTGATGTTTTTGCGGAGTTCAGATAGCCAACCGGCCATTTCTTGGAAGCTGTTGTTGTTGGTAATCTGTGCAGCCAAGTTAGGTTAGTTAGTATTAGTGTTTATGTAGGTTTTAGTATGATGTAGGTGCTTATATAGGCAACAAATGTAAAAGCAAAGGAGAAGAAGGGGAGAAAAAAGAACATTTCGCATGGAAGTGTGGGGATGCACTGACATCATAGCACAGAAGCACCGCTTGGGCTCCTCTGTAATAAAGTCTCGACATGCTGCGAAACCTTTCCTGTCCGGCTGTGTCCCATATCTGCAATCTGACTATGGTATCGGAGGTGGAATCAAGGACGCGCTTCGTCACGAACGACGCGCCGATGGTTGAAGCCGCTGCGGGGTTGAAGGTGTTTGTACAGTATCTCTCCACGAGCGCAGTCTTGCCAACCCCTGGTTATAATTAGGGTTAGTATAGTATTTAGTTGAGTTTTCAACGAGTATATAGATCGAAAACTGGCCACTCCACAACATACCTTGCGCTCCGAGCACAACAATCTTAGCTTCAAGGCTTGAACTCATGTTTCCCCGAGGTTGAGGAAGCGGGGGTCAAGATTTTGTATTCGCATGATATATTCACCGAAGTCAAAATTCTTTGACAACCGACGCGATATAAACAAAGCGATCAGATCAAAGGGATATTTGAAGGGAAAATGAAAGAAAAGAAAAGCTGGGGATTTGCGGGCGGTATCAGCCGATGCCTTCTTTCTTGTTCACGGGGTCACCTGCACGTGTCTTGGTATCTAAGGAATAAAAAGAAGAGAATAGAATGGGTGAATGGGTGAATGGGTTTACATATAAACCTACATAATTAGTTTTGTTTTACATGGAGTGATGATCTGAGATTGAAGGCACATGTACAGGACAGAGGGCTGCGTCACGGACTATAACAGTCCTACTAATTAATATTTTACCAATGCTTATTGGCTTGTTTCCTCTTCGGGTTAATATAGTGTTGAAGCTAGGACTATGAATGGTCCCTTGCTCGGGGAATCTATCAGCCTCATGCAAGGCAGCACCCGCATGAGTCACTATTAAACTCAACCCTCGAGAGGCAGGTTTGACCTTGTCACATGCAGAGAAGAGATATATGATTTATATGATTTGTAATTCGGGAAAAAGTGAGTAGAATATGTGTTCGATCTCTAGACTGGTATCATACAAAGCGCATATACATGAAGCCGATAATTCCTCCAACCGAACCATTTTCGAAGGTCATCCTCGAATAACAAAAGCACTGCACTTTCGATTCTGGAGTAGGGTGCATACAGGATCATTCACCGGCATCAGGGCCAGGAGATAATCCTCCATGCAAGAAACAATGGGTATATAATGTCAAAAAGAAATAAGAGAGAAAAAAGCGAATCTAGCATTCAACCCCGTCCATCAGACAGAGGGAACAGCACAGCCATAACGTTGAGAAATGGCAGCGCACAGCGCTGTCACGCCAGCAACTTGAAAAACGACCGTTTAGCAGGACTCATAGAAACACTGAGTCTCAAGATTGAGCCTTGGTGTTCTCGTTCTCTTCGTGAAGGCCCTTGCCATCGCTGGAGGTGCTACGAGGGGAAATCTTCTCAGCGGCAGTCTCGATATCGCCCTGGCGGCGGCTAGACTCGAAGCCATACTCAGCAGCCTTGGCCTCAATCTCCTCGTCGGTAAGCTTGGGCAGCTCGTAGGCAGCCTTGACATAGCTGATATTCTCAAGGTAACCCTTGGCGAAAATGAGATCGATCTCCTCCAGACTACGACCAGCGGTCTCGGGGTAGAAGAGGATCATGGGGGGAATGAACATGAAGTTCATCACAGCGAAGAACAGGTAGGTACCCCAAGAGATACCATCAATCATAACCGGAGTGATCATAACGACAGTGAAGTTGAACAGCCAGTTGGAGCAGGTCGAGACAGCATTAGCCTTAGCACGAGTACGGAGAGGCGAGATCTCGGCGGGGTACAACCAGGGGAGAGGGAGGATGGAGGCTCCGAAGAAGGACATGTAGAGGAACAGACCAAAGACGGCACCCTTAGAAGGTCCGGTCTGGTCGGGGATCAAACAAGCAAAGACGATAATCATAGAGACCATTTGGCCTGTCATACCACCGATAAAAAGCTTGCGGCGACCAATCTTCTCAATGAAGAACCAGGAGAAGGTGGCGAAAATGGCGTAGACAATCATGTTGATACCACCGATAAGCATGGACATAAAGTTATCCTGACCAAGAGACTTCTTCAAGAGGACAGGGAGGTAGTAGATCACAGCATTGCAACCAGACAGCTGCTGCGCGATTTGAGACGAGGAACCGATAAGCATGCGACGCAGGTGTTGCGTCTTGCCACCAGTGAGGAGATCAGAGTAACCAGCACCCTCAGCAACGCCAGCAGCCTCGATGGACTCGATGACAAGCTGCTTCTGGAGCTGGGTCTCATGAGAGTCGGTTTCGTAACCACCAAGAGCAGCAAGCACATACTCACCCTCTTCCACGTTGCCCTTGGAGATGAGATAGCGAGGCGAGTCGGGCAAATAGAACATTCCAACGACAATGATAAGACCGAAGACGAGCTGGAAGCCAATGGGGAAACGCCAGGTGAGGTCATCGGGGCCGTAAGAGGCACCGAAGTCGATCCAGTAGGCGATCATTGTACCAATGGCGATGATACCACCTTCGATACAGATAAGAAGACCACGATTGGAGGAACGCGAGCACTCGGCCTGGTATGTAGGGATAGTCGAAGTGTTCATTCCATTACCGATACCAGTGAGGATACGGCCGACGAAGAACTGGGCGGTAGCTCCATGGCCCTTGATGGCACATATTTGAATAATAACACCAATTATCATGACCCAAGCACCGTGGATAATCATGAGACGACGACCAAGCTTATCACCAGCGAACAAGGCGTACATGGCGCCAGCCAGACAACCCAATTCGTAGACGGCAGTCACCAAGGCCTGCATGGTGGAATTTTCATGAGTGATAGGCATGAACCTCCCGAAGGCATCTGAATCAATAATGCCGGACATGACACCCTCTGCGGATTGTTAGCAACGTTGGATTTGTATAATAAATGAATTTATACTTACGATCGTAACCAAAAAGCAGGAAACCCATAGTAGCTATAGTTGATACCGTCAGCCCAAGGGGCTTGCCGGACATGCCAGCATATGTAGGCGCCATGATGAAGAATAGAAGAAAATAACGATATAACCAATCTATACAAGTCCTAAAGGATGAAGGACTAGTCCCAGTGTCAACACGTGGGTATGAGTGGAAATGACTGGAGGTATAACGACACGCGGAGAAAAGAAGAACCCCAGGGGAAGGAAATAGGGAGATATTTGAATGTCTTGCTTCTCCAACGGCTCCAGCGAAGATTGACGAAAGTGGTAAGGAGGTTCATCGTGGGGCATATAATACTTCCCCCCGTGTCTTCTCTGTACGAGTTGAGCCCGAGACTGTAGAAAATGATATAAAATGCAAAAAATAAAAGCCACTGCCTTAATAGTTGTAGCTCAACGAATCAAATTGTTATAGAGCGGAGCCTATTAGCCGGATGCGTCAATAAAGGCGTGTTAAGCACTTTTTTTTTTTCGAAAGTTCCACTTTGTAGTTTGCGTCCCTAATGACATCAGATATAAAATCCTTCTATTTTACATATTATATCCTTATTTTCTTCAATAATTCTCATTGGTGTTTCTAAAATGTGGTGGAGATGCCCTGGTGCTTCGTGGTACTTGGATCCGCACCAACTGACCAAACATAAAGAATCATATATGAATGGGTCTTGAAATACACTGTGCCTTGTACGTTCACCTTTCTTAGGAAAATAAACGAGATTGCCCCCGAGCGGTAAGGGGAATGAGCCTTACAAATGATAGGCTTAAAACCGTGAAGGGTTGCCGATATCAAATAATAATCAGAATTGTGCATTCACACGGTAAGATGATAAGTGTCTAACTAGGGCCCCATACAAAACTAGATCGTGTACTCTCGATGCAACTTCGAGTCCAAGCGCCAAGCCACTCCCGTCCCTCTCGGCGCTGGTTGCAAAAAGGGACTCGGGAAGCCGTCTCCATCCCGAGGAATCTCGGCCAGAAATGTCGGCCGTGAAGGGACTAGCGCTAAAATGATTAAATAGTGGCTTACTCGATATAGAATGTGCACTTCCCCTTACTTAAGATTTAATATTAGATTGTTTTTTTCGCTCTTTGGGAATCCCTATCTAGGCTGCAGGTAACAGAGTTGCCCATGTTTACAATATAAGGCTGCATATGTTGTACAATATTGTACAATCCTGTACTTGGATTCGAACACTATGGAATAACTATATCTACGTACATATTTAGTAACTAGCTAGAATTAATGCAAAGCCAAGAGCCAAGGCGGCCAGGACCCGAGAGGCTTTCCCGAGAAGCTTTTTTTTGCTTGACCGTTGCTTCTTTTCCTAAGTAAAATATGACACATGAATTGTATCAAACCCTAGAAAAAAGTTCAATTTTCTTCTTTTCAAATGACCCACATCATGTCTCGAAGAGATAGAAAGTGGAAAAGTGTCACCTAGTATCCGCAATGATGTCGTTGAGCCACTCGCTGTATTCAAAATTATCTCCAACTGCAACTAAGTGGACACGGGCGAAAGAGAAAGGATAAATGAAATAAAATGAATCTATAGGACATGGTTTACGATTCATTCTTTGTTCCATGCGTTCGTACATCTGATTGGAAGAACCTCTGCCGTTGAAGCGTACTGTGTAGTTCTCTTCATGGCCCGTATGTCCACGTCCACAATTCAACTATTGATGGGTCTCCTTTGGCTAATAATAATCCATTTTGGAGAACCGCCTTCCTGATCTCGTAGGTTAATTGCTTATCTTACGGTCTATCGAGACCCTAACAGACCTCACCCGATAAAAGATTGATTGGACGACAGAAAAGCCGAGCCTCAGACGATGTCACAGTGCATACAACATATACACTTCAACGAACCACATTGCAAAGATGTATCCCGCTGATTAAGGATTTGAGACTTCATCTCAGAGCCTTTTGATAGGCTATCGGCGCAGCCGACATGTAGATGAATCCGCCGTTAGAATTGATCTTTATTATTGCCACATATTTTGTTTGACAGGTGATCCAAACAATACCCATTTACGAGTCCTAAAATACCGTTTGTTAAACAACTAAGCATTGGTGGCGACTGCTTTGCGCCCCGTTCGATCTACACTTCTATGAACGGATGGAAGGATTCTGTGCCACATTCACATAGTACAAATTGTGGACAGGGCACTTGGCTGAACCCCTTCCCTGTACAACGTCAGCAGCAGCCACGAAGCGACAAGGAGAGATGTGTGCCGCCACAGTAGCGGAAGATGGAGAAATGGCGGAGGTGTAGGAGAGGTGGAGAATATTCGGAGGCGCCGGCAACGCGAGGGAGGCGCATAGTTTGTAGGACGAATGACTGAACGTGCCCTATGGTAGTATCTGAATCGATGCCGATAACAAAGTGGCTTGTGTGTCTCACAA